ATTACAATTAATTAAGGTTTTTAGTTGAGATGAAAAAAAGTTAATGGCACGAGCGGGATTCGAACCCACGATCTTCGGCTAGATACGCCGCTGCTCTACCACTTGAGCTATCATGACCTCACATCGAATCCCGTTCGTGCCATTAACTTTTTTTCATCTCAACTAAAAACCTTAATTAATTGTACTGTATTAATTGGTCAAGCGGACTACGAAATTAGTGAATTTAATGTTGAAAACATTGATCAATAATTATACAGAAACAGCTTTTATTAGTGTTAATGTTGTAGATTCTGTGAGCGAATCATCAGTTGAGGACATCGAGGAAATTTTAGACTCAGAGGATGAAAGAAAAATTGACGAGGATCACTTAGGTTGGTAAATAAAAAAAGCTTATTGTTTCAATTTTTCTATTAAATATTAGAAGTTAGATGTACACTAACTGCACAGGTTTGATGGTCAACCTTAACTTTTATTTGCCTATTTATTTATATGATTGTACAATTTCACTTTTAAGGAGCTGAATATTGCCAATTGGTTTATTATTGCCGGCTCTGCAAAAAGTACCTACAGGGAGACTCGGTGAAGGAGAAAGCCTTACAAATACACTGTCGATCAAGGTTCCACATTCAGAATTTTCAACGTGTCAAAAGCGCAAAACCTGAACGGAGAGCTTTATCCCAAATTCAAGAAGTAAGCCATTGATTACCATTAGGCCATCAATGCAGTTCTACGAGCAGATGCTGGAATTAGCTTGTCTTCTTTAGAAAACCAAAAGCAATGGCAGGGCCAATATGACATGAATTTTAGCCTGGACAAGGATTTAGACAACCTTATTAGCGAGGAAAACTTAAGAACTCAACCAACAAAGAAAACAAAAGATAGCTTTAGCTATTGTATTAATTTATTACTTTTTTAAAAAAGAAAATCTATTGTATTTTAAAAAGAAAACAGTTAATAAACTGAATTTTTACAAAAATAAATAAATAAATAATGCCTTTAATTCAAAGAGCTTGATAAAGTGTTTTATTTTTATGATTTCAAAATTCAAAAATAATCCATAGATTTTTTTGGTAATTTTCAATTTAGACTAATTTTAAGAAAATTTATTGAGAGATGCAGTTGTGATCAGTTTCCTACATTTTACACCTTCACTGTGTATGCTCTGTTCTTCTATTAATTTTAATGCCTATTTAAAAGTGTAGTTTCTGACTGCTTTTATTACTAATTTTCTAATAAGGCCAAAAATAAAGGGGCAACTAAAAAAGTTCTGTTCAAATTTTTCAATGATTTTGTTTCTTGTTCTTTAATTCTGTGTTGCTGTTTTCATTATAATTGATAAACATGATTGTACATTCAGTATTTTGAATGCCTTTAATGAAAAAAGTTTGAAAAATTAAGGTGTTCACTTGTACAAAAGGCGCAAACAGATCTCTCTCGTCAACAGCAAGAATCCACGAGGCCAATCCTACAAAAACTGCTCAGCTGAGTACACTTTCTTATCTTCAGATTGAATTTACTGACAAGTAGGAAGATATCTGAAAATAGACCATTCTCTCGTTTTCAATGTGTTGTCAATTACGAGTTCGTTCCAGGATGTTTTGCCTGTCAATTCTAAGCTTTATTCATTAGAATTGCAAGATTTGTGGAACATAATGGAACAAAAAGCTTAAAAGTTTCAACCCCTGGCCATATCGAGCATCTTCTATATACCACATAATCCTGAGTCTTGACCTTGCTCTCTCAGACTGCCTGTAACAGCAACTCATCACCCAATATTTATGAGCTAAAATTCCATAACGTAAAATATAATAAATGTTAACACTTAAAATGTACTTTTTTCTTCTTTTTTTTACACATCCTAATAGGAGTTAAAATTCAATAAATAAGAAAAGTACAATATATATAATAAAATATATTACAGAAAATTATAAATTACAATCATCTACCAAAACATGGTAACAATAGGCATATTTTTTTGTGTAAAACTAAATATCTAATAAAAAATCTATAAGAGAACATACAAAATTACACATTCAAAATTTTTAAAAAAATCAAGTTAAAGAAATAAAGTATAAAAATCTTGTATAACAATTTTTTTACAAATCACTAATGTTGATATAAATTACATTTAAAAAACATAAAAAATGTTTGTTCCCCCCTATAAGGACGGATTAAACTAGAATCACATTCTCAAATTTTTTAAAAATACACCATTAAATCAACTGGTCAAATGTCACAAATTTGTTTGGCTTTAATAACTATATTTATTAAAAATTTAAAAAACGTAAATTTAAAAAAAATTTTAATTGAGCAAATTTATATGGATAAACTGTGATAATTTATCAATTAAAATAATATGTTAAAAAAATACTCTAGCAAACTATTAAAGAAATTAAAACATTGCACAGCAAGCCTTAGGACTTATTTATTCAAATGCTTTTTTAATTAATGAAACATTTAACACATTTAGTGCACATGCTATGCCATAATAGACCACCTGGCACTTTTTTTCACTTTTTCATAATGTGCTGTGTTCGTTCAGCATTTTTCTTTTGACTACTTGCTCCGATCAAATCCTGGTAGAAGTTATTGTTTTCTGTCTATCTTTGGAATTCGAACGAAAATATTAATTTTTACCCTATTAATTCCTCCCTCCCCCCAGCAAATTAGTTCAATAATTTTTTAATATTAAGTCCTAAAATCTTTGAAATCGTAAAATATTTTTATAAATTGGGTCCCCTGGTAACATTTTGGAGATTGCATCGCTCATTGAGGGTACTTATTATAGAATCAAAAAGGATCAACTTACTACAAAATTAAAAGCAAAGTAGTTACTACAAAAAGACAATAACAAACTTAATATAAAAACAAAAAAAGCAATAAAGAATGTTAAATATTTAAATTTAAAATAAGTCAAAAATTTAAAAAAAATTTAAAATTTAAATATTGATTAGTTGATTTTTTTTGCTGATGTCTTTAAATAAATATTTATAAAATGTCTTATTAATTAAAACTACATTCCTTTTATGGTGTGTCATTGAAATCAACAAGCTGCAACATGTGCAACGTACCGCTTTTATCAATTGCAGCAAAAGAGTCGTTGAACGCTATGAGACTAGATAATTGAACTGCAGCAGATGCCAATGGTCCGTTTGGAGATGCGATGAAGATACAGGGTTGATTCGTTGATATGCAAGCAATTCTGCTGTCTGTCACTGCGAGGCTGTTATAAGAATGGCACCTCATGAAATTTGGCAGTTCGTAAACATGAGGGCTCAAGCATAATATGTCTACAACCTGAAAAAAAAAAATATATATTTTATCAATTATATAGATAAAACATAAAGACGACTCTTGATAATTCTAAACCCAAGGAACCAAAAATAATTCGAAATATCAAGAAGAAAAAAAGTTAAGTTGTACCCTTGAATCTTGTTGCTTTAAATTAACACACTTTAATTACGCACCAACTAATTTTTCCCATTTTTTCATAAAAATCCTGTTTTTTATATATTTATTCCTTTTGCAACTTTTAATTCTTTATCCAAATAGAAAATTTCCTGCTATTAAGTTATTAATATTGGTATTTTAAATTATTAACATCATGTGTAAATACCGCAGTGCTCACATAGAAGAATAGAACGGTGATTTTAGGCAAAAAATATCTTTTATCTGTACACAAAATGAGTATAATAATTATAGTAAACTCAGCTCAAACCATGCTGAATAAAAAATAAATAATAATTTCAAGTGATAAAAACAAAATAATCAATTTATAACCACACTATAACACTCAAGTATATAAAGTGCACCAAGTGGAAACCATCAAAAACCAGATTTGTAACGAAAACTGATAAAAACTATGAAATCTGCAATTTGTCCACAGCAATCCAAATAGCATATTGAAAGGGTAACTTGACAGAACTACCCTCCAGTATTCCTTGACATTCACCTTTGATTGTTTGAAGCAAGCAAGAAGTTATTTTTGTTCCAATGTGACTTGTTTCCAAAGTGACCAGTGCTGAGAACAATTGACGAAACACTGACTACCGAACATTACAAACTAGAGAAAATTCTAAAAAACTTTAGGCTGTAAGAAACTAAACTATGTGAGGAAATTTAGAGGAATATTGCAAAGAACAAGTTCAAATTATAAAGAGAGGAAGCGGCTCCATTTCAATTAATAGAATACTTTTTCTCCCCTTGTTACAAAAATATTTTGTATTATTGTATCAAAATACTCAGAATTTTTTTTATTTAAAAAGGTGACTTCTGAGGAGTTCGTACCAAAAGAAATTCAAATTCAAGTTTCAAATTAACAAGTTTTGAGTCGACAGTAATAAATTACTTACAAGTAGTTGCCTTCTAGAAACTAAGGCCAGTATCTGTCCATCCGGTGAGAATGAGGCCAGATCACAGTTTATGCTGTATTTCCAAATTTCTTCATCAGTCGATGATTTACGTAGCGAAATTTTCATATCTTGAGATATAAGAATTAAGCTTTTTCCTTCGTGTATAGCAATTAGTTTTGCATCTTCTAACACGTATAAAGAGTTGCAAGTGCCTAGGTCCCAAACCTGGAAAACGACAAAAATTTTACAATAAATTAATTTGATTAAAATATGATTACTACATCATGCTAGGAATTTTCAATTAAAATTTTCAAACATACCTGAACTGAATCTTTCGTTGAGAAAATTATTTCCCCAGTACAGGTCAAATAACAAGAAGTTATACCTTTAACATCTTTGCCAAATATATACATCTTATGTGGAGTTTTAGTTATATCTAAAACCTTAAAAAATAAAATAAATTAATTAAAAAATTGGTGTAATAACTAAAAGTCAAAAGATAAATGTAAAAAGTTTACCATAAGATGATCCTGAGTGGTAGAAGCAGCAACCAGGCGTTTATCTTCATGTTGAAATAATTTCAATATGGTCGTTGGACATGTGAATTTGAAATCATCAAGTTTACAAACTTCTTGCAACTTTGTGTTAATTAAGCACACTTCACCCCAGCTGGTCGAGTAAACGATATGAATTTCATCTTCTACCGGACATGTTGATGCTAAATTATTCACTGGGTCCTTTGCAGTATAACAATATTTTGTTCTGTTATCACATACGACCTAAATGTTAAAAATAAATTAACAATAACATTCTCATATCGTTGCTAAATGTTAACATTCACCTTTATCTTAACTGCCTTTTCAACTTTGGTAACGATGGGAAAGTTCTGTGATGAAGGCCAGAATATTTTGGATATTGGAACATCCACAATTTCAATTGGTTTTATCTCTACTCTATTGTCTGAAAATGCAGTCAATAGCATCCCTTTCTTCACAGCGATGGCTGTAATTTTTTCTATATTGCTCCCACTGGAAAAAAAATTGTGTTTTATTTAATTTATTTTATTTAATAATGTTTTGAGTGTGTTACCTTATGAACTGCAATGTGCAACCGGTGTCACTGTCGAGGATCAATATGTCATTTTTTTCTGTCACAAGAGCAATATGGTGACCGATGTGAAAGAGTGAATACTTGGCACCTTGCTCTTCTATTTTTTTCTCAAAGTGATGTTTTTCAAAAGCGGCGATTGTCTGATCACCCCAAAAATCCACCCTGTCCCTTGAGACAGTCACCAGGCCACCCATTGTTCCATCTGTTATTTAATTTTAAAAAATTATTTGGAAAAAAAATTACAAATGGTCGAAACGTACTGTGAAGAATGGAAAGTCCAATGGTAGGATGATTAATCGGTGTTTTCACACTTAAGTCGTCCAAGCTGATGATATGTACGCCTGAGTCACCACCAGCGATTATGAACTGGCCGTCTCCACTGAATTCACACACCCGTAATCCCGGAAATTCAAATGTTTCGAAATGGCGATAATTATTGTATAACTACAACAACAATTATTGAAATCAAGAAAAATAAAGTATTCTAAAATCATGAATTACATGAAGTTCAGTAGATTTTTCACTGTCGTTGCAACAAATGGCAGATATTTTATTGTAGTAGTGAGCAACCCATATAGCTGGTCTTGGGAACTCAATTTCTTTGATAGCATCAACACCTTTGGTGACAGAAGGCCAAAAGTCATAGTAAGACAACTGAGTCCTTTCAGGCGACAAATCATAGTTTTCCTCTATGCATTAAAAACAACCAAAAAACAACTTTTAAATCACACATCAAAAGAGCTTAAATAATGAACTATTAATTCATCTGAGGATTAATTACTTTAGATACAAAACACCTTCACTAAAATTTATATTAACTAATCATCAAAGCATTATCTTATAAAAGAATAACAACTTACAAATGCCTAGAGGTAGCTAAACAAAAGGAATGCTACTTAATAATATATAACAAATCAAACGGAAATAAAAATTTTATCCATTAAAAACGAACCTATGTTTTTGTCTAATTCCAGGTTCCACACTCTTATTGTTTTATCTTTGGAGCAGGAGAAAAGCCTGGTTTGTTCATTGTTTGTTGTGATGTATGTAATGTCACCCAAGTGGCCCACAAAATTCCTCAGCCGGATGCATTTCATATTCCAGAGCTAATGGAAAAATACCGACAGTCAAATAATAAGAATTTAATAATTATACATTAATGATGCTGATTACCTCTAGATATCCTCCTTTCATGGCAATAACAATGTGGGTACTGTGTGCAAAACAGACAGCGGTTACCTTTTTATCCCTCATGTTTATCACTCGAGGAATCCAATCCCCCTTTTCAATTTGATGATGTCTAAAATGATGCAAGGATGATGTCAAGTTTAAAGAGAAAACTATTTTCAACTTACGGAAACTCTATATAACATTTTTTATCTGTCTTATTTCTCTTCTTGGCTAAAACCTTTCCCATTTTGTGGACATAACTATCAGGCGATTCCTGTAAGGCAAGCTGTGCTATGTCCATTCCTTTGTGGATGGCAGGACCGTACTGTTCAATGAATTCTTTCAAAGCTTTGATCTCCATTTTGTTCTGTAACACTATCACTTATGAAATATAAACTATAAGAAATATGGCAAAATATTCCCAAGAAGTGTTCTAAGAACTCGCCCCTGTTGTACATGGAAAATTAAAATCTAACATACAGTTTTAAACAAGATCACTGTTTTCATTAGAATCAGTTTAAGTAATTTATGATATTGGGTTGTCCGGAAAATAATGCAGGATTTTAAGTTTTCATTAAAAAAAATCTATATAAAATATTCTGTTTACGTTTACAGGATTACTCATTTGTANTTTTGATTAAAGAACATTGCTTTAAAGTAACTAGTTTCTTTTTTTTTGTTTAATACCAAAATCCTGCATTATTTTCCGGACAACCCAATATATTTAATCAATTATGACACATACAAACATACAGGGCATTATTCACATTTAACAAAGCTTTTTGTCGTTTTGACAAGAATTTTATGAATATCTCCCACTTCTTTATGGAGGGGAGAAAACTTGTGACTAAAAATTAATAAAAAATAAGCTTCAAAAGGATCAACAATTGGACTCAGCCACCCAACTACACATGAATCATAAGATTTTCGTTACTTGCCATATATTGGGCAACTATCAAAAAATGAGAAGGATTTAGAGTAGCTTTTAGAGTGCAGTTCACTTAATCCTCTCAAAACCTAAAAACAAGGTTGACAACTTGTCAAAAAATGGGATTTACAAACTTACTTGTAATGATTGTGATATTTAATGTATAGGTCAAATATCACAAGAGTTAAAGTTAAAGAACACTTGCCTATTGAACAAATTTTCTGAATTGAAAGGACTTTCTAAATGAAACAAAACACAGTTTCAATAAAAATACAACAGTGTTACACAGTTTCAACAAAGGAGGGAGCTAGATTGACTTGACAAATTTGACAAAAAAAAAAAATTTTACAACCTGTGAGTAAGAAAATAGTTTACTAAATTAATAGTTAATAATTATAGTAATAGTTAATAGTTATAGTAAGAGTTTAATAGTTTACTAAAGGTGAAAAAAGAAAAACACAAAAAAATGTGTACTTTCGAGGGGCTACTGCATCTAAAGTTTAAAAGTTATTGACATAAAAGGATATCTTCACGCATATCAATTTGGCAACTCTAAAAATACTCCCCCTTTACATGCCACCTAAATTATCACCATGCCTCGTGGAAGCCATTTACTCTTACATGAGATAGCATCTGAACCAGTCTTTGGATTTGGACAAAATAAACTTTTTATTTTTTTTGGTGTTGTCCTTTTTCTTTGCATAGATGAAAATTATTCTCTTAATTTGTATGCCTTTTTGAAAGTAGAATTACTTAATATGCTTAATTATTATTTTTTAAATATAAATCTACCTTCATAAAGGCCTAAAAAAAAAAATTAAAGTTTATTTAGCCACTTAGGGTATTAGCTAATGCTTAATAGTGGAAATAAAACATTGGAACTTTTTAAGTCAATTTTTTATGTTGTCGAGAAGTGAAAATGCCAAAATTGAAAAAAAAAAAAATTAAACTCAATCCAATTTGGAAATGACCAAAGGCACTTTCAGATGCAAAGAGTTGATGCCTCTATCAATGGAGGAAGCAAGGGAAGCAAAAGAAAATGTAATTACATATCTCAAATCAGCACCGACAACAAAATTTCATGGGGCTTACTGCAGAGCCCCCTACAGTAGCAAGATATCACCACATATATGACTCCAACGGCTATAGACAATTCAGGATTCGGAAAATAAAAATATTTCATATGCTAACATTATAGCGGGGGCAATACGGGCCCACCAATGTCAACAAGTTCTAAGCTCTTCAACAATGCTCAGGATAAATATTTTGTAAAAGCCTTTCTTGACAATGAATTTGGTATAGCCTGTAATCTCTGTGTCAGATTTTGGTTTCAACAAGACCTTCATTTGAGATGAGTTGAGAAATGCTTTTGGCACCGGTGGCAGTGAGTGAACATAATGGTGTTCAAATTGTAATGTACATGACATAAAAGTGTGGATTATGCATGGTCAATGTGAAAATTTTTTAAAAATCAAAATTACAAAAAAACGGCCATAGTAGCCATAAAGGTCATAAAAATTCAACCATCATCATAATACAATTTTACTTATGATATAGTATATTACCATTCCATTTTCAATCTGGTCACTGTAACGACTGAAGTCTAATATTAAGTCAAAAGGTTCCACTGCCTGCAGCTTAGCTTCTAGAAATTCTAGATCAGTGTAAATTAATGTAAAATGCTGCTTGAGGTCTGCTGCCATGAGATGATAGCCAAGGTAGTAGTAGATGTAGTTGTCATTCTTTGGTAGTTTTGACGTCCAGTCAGGGAAATGGAATTTGTAACTTTCTAGCAGATTCCTGTGATATGACTAAAAAAAGTTTGATAAAACAAAACAACAATTGTATATCGAAAAAAGTCATTACCTTGATTGTATCCTGAGGTAGAACAGTCCTGAGATAGTCAAGGAACAGGTCATGAACACCGTAAACGTAACTGGATAGCGTTTTATTCCAATATCTACCCAAAAGTGATTTTTTAACAAACTCTGTCATTATATTTTCTGCTCTTATTTTGCTAATTCCCCAAACTGTTGCTAAAACCTGAGAAAGAAATTCAGGTAATTATTGTTATTCCTGAACTCCTGAATAATTATGTTGTACCTCTGGCCGAAGGTTTACATCCTCTCGGAATACCACAAAATGATAAAAACATTTTTTCAACCTGTCTGAAAGATTTTCTACAGCCAAGCTGATAGCTTTATTTATATACTGGTACGAGTATTCATTTAGATTCCTTCTAAAATAATAAAAACCTACATTTCACTATTATTTTTTAATACTTCAAATCAAGTTATTACCTATTAGTTTGCAATATATTTATATAGTGTGACCATCTTTCAGAAGAATCTGTTCTTAAGTCTTCCTGATGGTCGGCCAATTCTGCACTGATCACAGCAACATTGATTGGTAGGCCTACAAATAATTTTCAATGATATAACACTGTTAAAACAGACATTAAAACATTTTAATTAATAAGTAATAAAATAACATACCTTTACACAACTTGAGAATAGTTCTGACTGGAACATTGGGCAAATCATCCTTCCTTACATTTAGACTCATGGCAAACAATTGAAGGCTTTCTGCCTGTGTAAAGTGATCAGGGACTTTTATAAAATTGCTTATTGATCTATTGTCTTTAATGACGTTCATGTCCCGCGTTGTAATGATGAAGTTGACACCAACATCCAAAAACTTAACTACATCCTCACTATGTACATCATCTAGTATAATCAGACAGTTTGGTTTTGTTTCTAAGTATCTGTAATTAAAAGAAAATTCTTTTACTCGGGCTATTTAATCAGTAGTTGGAAATATAACCTTGAGACTCAAACAGGAAATCTCACAAATAGTGGTTTCTCTAACCACAACTTTTCGCACATAATAATCTTTGTATTAGTCAAATGGTTATCTATTCTACTTTAGTGCCAAAATTAGTTTGTGAAGTGAAGCTAAAATAAAATTACAATACCGTTGCCTGAGTTGGATTAAAGCAATTTTTGAATTTGCAGAAAGATCTGGGTCATGTTCTTTCAGTCTTACATTTAATTCTTCTTGAAGAGATCTAATTTTATCTTTGCCATCAGATCCTACCATCACCCAATAAACACCGTCCTGTACAAAACAAATGATCAAATAAACAGTTTATGAATTAAAATAACTTTTCAATAATTTTACTGAGAAATGGCTCAATAGTGATGAATCATAGAGAGCTTCTGTTGCAAGGCTGCTCTTTCCACATCCTATCAAACCATGGAGGACCAAAAACCTCCGGTCTGATTTGGCCAAGCTTACTATGCTACTCCTGACTTTTGTCAGCTGTGGGAAATATTAAGTTTTAACAATACATATTTGGCGAATTAAAAAAAACAACAACTCACAATTTCAGTCCTTGACACATTTCTTTCTGGCAATACCGGAACACCTCCAACACTTAAAACATCCCTTACATAACTGCTATTCTTGTTTTGTTTAAAAAGATCGTAAAGCCAGTAGTAGTCCTTGTGCAAAAAATCCTTGAACTTATTTAACAAATCTCTCTGCTTCACTGTGTCAGACTGGTGTTGAATTATCGAGAGCATTGTCTGGATCTTGAGATTCAAATTGTTCTGAAAAGGCAACAATGAGCTTGATCAAATTTATTAAAGTTGAATTTGCATTTGTTTAAGGCTTGACATGGCGACTCATTAATGCTAGCATACCGGGTTCGAACCTAGGCTGTCCTCAATTTAAACCTGAAGTAATTTGAAATATACTTAAAAAACAACTTTGTTCATCACTATAAATAACATCGTCCATCCCAACAACTTTCAAAACATCAAGAAAATAAATTATGCCTGCTACTATGCTGAATTCACCCGCATTTAATTTATAACACTTTTACTTGAAAATGAGCCATTTTTTTGTCACAATAATTATGATTTATTACAATCTGATATCAAAATTTGCTCTTGACAGAGACCTCTTGACTACACTATATTGTTACTTTGCATAATATGTAGTATGAAATATATTTTATTGTTAATATACTTTTAAAAGTGTATTTTCATTAACTGTTAAATAAATATTTTAACATTTCCATTCCTTTGTTCCTTACTATGGTTAATCATTCTTATACAATCAAATGTTCCAAGTGTTTTTATGAATGAAGAAAGAACTTTATTTATAAAAAGAACGAAATTTCATAAGTAAGCATAACAGTCAAAAAACAGTTCTTATACAAAATAATCTGCTGGTGATGGTGGTGGTGGGAGGGAAATTCACTTGAACAGAAGATATGTACATTAAGAAATAATATAAAAAAAGTACGAGTCCCAGTATAGAATTAAAAATTAAACTGCTCCTCAAGCTCTCCGCCGGACTCCAGTGTCCTTTTTGCATAACCAAAAGGTCTGCATTAAGTTTTGTGATCAAATATGCTGTAACTCTGTCACTCTTACCACAAAAAGGACCCAAAACTCTGAAAGAATGGGAGCGAAAAATAAAAGAGGTCCTCCTTCGTGCAGGAGTTACACAATTAGCAACATTCAACACTTCTCTCAGAGGGAATTAAGTTTGAAGAAACAGAATAAATTATCAGGGAAATTTTCGATTATTGATTAAGTAGAAAAATGCTAATAAAAAATGATCGAATTCCTTTTAGAGCACAAATCTATTGGACTGGCCAATTTGGTACAACTTTCAAAATGCCTGGCTTAATACAAAAGTAGAGAATTTAGAGAAACATTTTCTATGTTGTTAAAGAAAACAAAACATTATTAAAATCATGGGCTATTGAATTAAGCGCATAACATTAATCACTTCAACCCCGTCCTGAGGAATATTGAGTACTCTGGAGTGTGTAATGTCTGGAGAAAAAAGTAAGTTATTAGCTAGAATGGAATGGGTTCAAATCTACCCCTACGAATATCTGGAATATTGGAAGAGTGAATGTGTCCAGATCTCATCAGTGCTTGATGTATATATACAACATATTGCATGTTTAGTGTCTGTTCTGCAGTTGACAACCTGAGGTACAAACAAGAAGATTTTAAGATATCGACATATATGCATGTGAAAGCATTAGCCAGATTGAGATGCTCACATGGCTACAGTTTAAAACAAAATACGGTCAAAGACAAGAGAGAAAAAAAGGGAAGCACGCAGAGGGCCAGCAATGACCTCGGCTGCTTGTCAGCCCATATGCTCCCAATTATTACATTACTTCACCGTAATTTTAGGAAGTCTGTAGTCATGCAATGAGAGGGTCCTGCTCAAATATGAAAGATGGAGTTTTAAAGCGTAAAAGAATAAAAGGTCAGTTGTCTCTAAATAAAGGGTGTAGTTGGGTGAAAAAATACAGATTAAATAATTACATGAAAAACAAAAAAAAAAGCTGATAACCCCAAACCTGGGGAGCATACTACCATCAAGCGATACACTGACCTAAAAACCTAAAACTTAACTATTTTTTTAATTTACTTTGTATATTTTGAAACGCTTTATTTTTTTCAAGCATCAAATTATTTTTAAACATTTCTTTCAGAGAAGAGGGGTTGATTGCATTCAAAATAGTTTAAAAAATCATTTATCCATTTCTGTTCTGGGTAGAGATCAGAGCGTGTCCCTTTGTTCTTAGTATTTGAATTATGTTAACGCATACGTTTATATATTTTTTATTTAATTTAATTTATTTATTTTAAATAATGGCATAAGATTCTAATTTGGCCATCTCACCATCGCAGTTATCTTATTAACTTCATCCTGGTCGAGTTCCCCAATGAGGGTTTCAATGGCATCGTAGTAGAGATCTTTTTCGAATTTTTCCCTTTGCTCCCTGAGTACATTGAGATCAACTTGTAAGTCCATTTCCGATGCGAAAAGCTCCACCGTTCGCTAAACACTGGGCTTAAAGCGGTGAAACGAGAGATCGACAAATTTCAGAGATACGCCGGCGTAGTGAAAACCCATAAACGTCTCTAACTCTCTATCTCACCACCTCTTCTCTTCTAAGCTGTGGACCTTTCCAGAAAGACTAGAGATGATTGAACTCTGCGAAGGTTTTTTGGTTGTCTCTAGTAATCAACTGGAATGGTGACATCACTGATACGTCTCCAGTTACCATTAATTTTTATTACTCAATAACTAATTTTAATTAAGATAAAAAAACGGTATTATAAATTATTCTACCAGTTTAAATGTACTTATTGGTGAATTTAGGAGTCGTAAATCCCTTTTTTTAACTAATTTAATAAAGTGGCAAAGACATTATAAAAATTTATGTAATATAATATATACAATAAAATTTTACATATAAAAATACAATAAGCATTATAAATTAGGTCACTTATAATTGAATAAATATAATTGAAAGCTAAAGAAATTTCACATGAAGACAATTAATTATATTAATTAATACTATGAAATATCCATTTACGTTTTTGTAGTCTATTGAACAAGTTACTTGTTTTAATAAATTAATTATTCTTTCTAAGGTCTTGGTTGAGATAAAAATGGCAAAAAGAGAGAAAATTCGAACAGTTGTAGGTTTAGGTGGAGAGTTGGTGTCAGAGAGGATTGAAGTAACAATAGCTCAAGTAGTAGAGTAGCAGTGTATTTTACCAAAGATCGTGGGTTCGAATACCGCTCGTGACACTGACTTTTTATCTACACCAAGACCTTAGAAAATGGGGTACAGGCCTACCTAGGCTTTTAACCCCTCGGGTCCTGGTCACCCGCCCTGCTATAAGACCTTAGAAAGAATAGTTAATTTACTGAATTATGAAATATATAGTACTAACAATTATTTTGTACACTATTATAAATAAATAAAATATGTAATTAATATATAATAGCTCCATGTGAACCACATAATTTAAGGGTGCTATTCGTTAACTAAACATAGAGAGTGTGAAGGAATGATACCTGATATTTTTCTATTATACATATTTTATAAAATTTATTATATTTATTAAAACAACTCTTTTGTTTAGTTTCTTCCAAGAATCAGAACAGGAGTCCTAGATACTCACTGCTGGGCTTAAGCACAATTATCATATCAAGTGGCATTCCTACATACTTTCTATATGGCTGAATTTACCTGGATGTTGATAGCCCCTGGAGCTCAGCGGTTGGACAGGTAAGACCAAGGTCTGACCCTAGACTGCCAACACCTGTATGGGCTGTATGGGTGCCTGCTAGTAATTTATTGGAAACCCACAAAAGTTGGAATTGTTGGTGAGCTGCAAGAAGTGAGAAGAAATTACCAAAAAAATCTGGTTTCTGAGGCAAAACTTAGATTAAAATTTAATCGGGCCAATAGCCAAGGAGAATCTATGAGATTGTTTAATTAGGTTAAGATTAGGTTAGGAATTAGTTTAATTAATGTTCAATTTAAGAGTTTATATAAGAATAGTAAATTGGTTTAGCTTCTATTTTATGATGTGAGGAGATGAAAAATTGTGAGAAGTGGAAAGTAATCAAGGGTCTGTTTAGGGATACCAAATTTTATGGCAATCTAAGGTTTTTTTTTTCTAAACTTTTGATGGAATTGATATGTTTTATTAGGTAGGCTCCAGGCTATGGAAGAGTATTCCAGATGGGGTCTTACATAAGAACAGTAAGTATTTTAAGTAAAGTAATATATACATTTCCTTAGAAAGTTGATGGACGTTGCCAAGAGCTTGGAAGGAATTCTTGGTTTGTGAGAAATAGGATTTTCTAATTAAAATTTAATACAATTTACTATTGACTACGGCAATGAAATCTAATTTCAGCATTTCAAAACACTAAGCATATAAAACAGAAAGGTTTTTTTTTTTATTATTTTTTTTATTGAAGGTGATGGCATCTATTAATATTCAATTGCATATGATTGGTCAGACACCAGTCTCATAAGGAATTGTAAGTCGGACTGTAAGCTGAGACAATCGTCTAGAGTTTACATTGTGTTGTAAAGCTTGAGGACATCTGCAAACATCATGCAAACGAAATTACAATGTTTACTGGAAGATTTAATGTGATTTGTGTATATGTTGAAGAGAGAGATGACCACATTGGGGTATATCTGGGGTGAATGGAATTTTATTTGAGAAGTAGTTAATAGATAATTAACTAATAGTTAGCATATTGCTTACTTAATAAACAAGAAAAATAGGTCAGTAATAATTAGCTACAATTTGTTTGAGTTTAATAATCAATGGGATAGAAAAATAGTTCGTTTTTCACAATGATTTTAATTGGCATGGATTAGTAATAATTAGTAACAGTTTTTTTGTTGTTTACTTAATAGACAATTTAAAAAATAGGTCTGGTGAATTTAAGTCATGTACCTTTAATAATCAACAACCAAGATTTTATCAATAATAAAATTGAAGGAGGAAATGAAAATAAGTGTGAGATGAATTAGAAATTATTATATTAGAAGGCTGATAAGTTAAGGGAATTGGTTGTTGCCCTTGGACATTTCAGTTGCATATGTATCATCAGCATCATCATATGATGGTGTGTCTGCCGTATGGAGGATATCTTCATAAATTATCGATTCCCTTGATGATCCTAGTGTAAGGCTTGTCATGGATTTTTTGAGCATAACATCAGGGAAGAGGTAAGGCGGAGGGATGAATTTGTCCCCAGCATCCATCCACTCAAGTTTAGAGCTATCTTTGAGCACATCAATCATCTCATCGAGCATCGGCTTGACAAGAGGTTTGTACAGCTCATTGCCAGGACGAGGTTGGATCGATTCCAAAAGCAAGCTGTTACGGTCTTTCTTATTCTGGTAAATTTGATGGGCAATTTTTGTCACCTTCTGCTCTGCAATATCCAAATCATCTGTTGATATCTAAAAACAACATTCTAAATTAATGAAATTTTTAATCAAAACAGATTCACTCTGTCATACAGCCATCATAAATAAGCAATTGTCATGAGCGGTCATATACTGCTGCCTTGTACTCATAATCTTCTGTATCAAATCTTCTACACTTTTCTCAGTTGTGATATTTCTTTTTGTCACACTTTTAATTTTTTTGGAATCCACTTGTATGTTTTGATCAGAGACTCTTTCAGACGAGTCGTCATACCACCAAATGTTCTTGATGCAGAATGCACCTTGAAAAATCGAAGGCCGTTATTAATTATACGTTTATTATCACCAAGTCATTGCTACAATTTTGGCAAATACCATAAAATGCAGTAGCCTTTCGGTAGGATCTGTGAAAATAATTCATTTAACAAACATTTCTAATATAAACAACTGAGAATGAACTATTTTAAAAAATCAAGTAAAAAATAACCAATTATTGATTTATATAATCTCAAATCTGCACTTGCTTGTACATACGTATTACACACATGTACAGAATCGAGCCTATCATTTCTTGCATTCCACCGGCAATCCCAGTTTTTTAATTTACACAAATTATTGGCACGCCTCGAGAATCACTGCTCCAGGTGTTGGCAGACTGGGATCAGATCGCAGTCTTATCCGTCCAGCCACTAGTGGCCAAGGTTAGATCTCCAAGGGTTACCAACAGCCAGGTCATTTCAGCCCCCAACACAATCATTTCCTAAATCCAAACCCATTCACACTCTTATTAACTCTTAAATACATTCTTTCTTATTTACATACCATTCACTCAGAGTGGTGGAGTACTCATATAATTAACCTAATTGAGGGGCTACTCAATATTCCACCATCAGCCTTCTTACACTACATGTTCACGACAGTAAATACATTCGTCTCAACTCATGCTAGGGTACACAACAATATTAGCACTATATACAATAAAACAACCGTGTTTCCTCTAAAAAAAATCAGAAATAGGGGACCCAAATATTCTCTGTCTTATTCAAACAAAATTCTCATATCAGGTGGCATTCCTACGTGCTTTCTCTGTATGGAGCCAAGGAATTACACCCTTCAATTAGGTGGGACACACTGAACAACCTTTCTCTGCATGCTGTACACATACAAGGGCTATAGTCCAAATGTAAGGGTCTGTATGTTAACCTCACAGCTTATACAATTTATGTCCTCTGGTGGCCACCTATCGATAGTGCTCCTGATGTGCAGAAGTTCTCTAGTGATCTGGTCCCCGACCCTTTACTTGCTTTTAATCATGTTTTTATTGCATTTGTAGCGTCAGAGGGCTAGATCAAGGTTGTTAAGCCCAGAGGTTGGCCCTACACAGAACTGGGTACCAAGAAAACAACTACTGTTTTGTTGAGAATGCTCTAGTTCATTTGTATCTTTTCAACACAAGATCACAATGAGAGTGTCGACAGAGGACCTACCCCGGATAACAGTAATTGCACTGAGGGAATTGGAGTGGACAATGTAAGCAGAGCCACCATCGTCTTGAATCTCCTCAAGTGTGTACCAGACTACGTACTGTGTATACGCTATTGTGCAGTGGGAGTGCTTAAGAAGTAGCAATAATTATAACGATTTTATTTAATATTTAAAATTATCTGGACATTTATTTTTATCAAGTCAATAATATACATTTAGACATACATAATTATAATAAATATGAAATAACTAATTTAGAAAAATACCTGATAGAATTAAGGCTCTCGTCTAAACTGGCTGTGGGATCTGTTGAAATACTCTCTCTATCCATCATTCTCTTAAAATTAAAATAAATTTTTGTCAAATAAATATCAAATTTAGCATATAAAGTTAATAAAAGCTAATATTGGCATAATATTTATTTTAAACAAAACATTTTATTAACCATATTTATATTATCATTTGGAGAACATAATTTGATGATTGCTGACAAAACAGTTGTGTTTTCACTTTTACATAAAACTTACTGAATAGTCCATGGATGGTTCTTTTAAAGTTGGCTGTCTTGAAGAAAACCTCGTATGGCGCTTGGTTAATTCACCTGCAAAAAGTAATCATGTCCATAAATAATCATTTCAAGATTAACAAAAAGCCCTTACTATCGTTATTTATAGAAACGAAAGCCTTATGCAAATCCTTCAGCCTCTTTTCATGAATATCAACTGAGGTTGGCATGGTGAGAAGGCATGTCGGTTCTAACCCGTGCCATTTGAGTTCGTAAGCCTGCTGAAGGTTTACACCAAGCAGGCATATTTTGCCATCATCAGTCAGTTCATCAAAACCTTTATAAATTGAAAAAAATTAATGTTTGATATTGTTTAAAATGATCTGAATATAAGACAATTAAACCAACTCAACTTGCAATCAACTTACACAAACCAAAGCTGCATCCAAGGCTGTGAAACACGAATATGAACTTTCCTTCTTTCCAAAGTTTGTTAAATTGTGTTGTAGTAGCATGATGGTATAGGGAGGGGTAGTTTGTATCATTAAAATCTATTTCTTCTTCGATATCAGTTTCATCCTCGAATTCAATTTCCTCCTTGCTGGATTGGCTCATATTGATGTCACGTATATTCAGCAAGTTATCACATTTCCTTGGCAGTTCTGATATAGAAAAGTCGAACCGACTTTTGCTCCGCCGTTTCATACAGTCAAAAGGAAGCAGTGGTAATCGTGGATTGAAGATGCTCTTAGATGCCAGTTTATCATCTCGGACAAACATTGCTGTTTGGTTTGAGGGCCTAGGTTTTGTCTTTACAACTACAACAGGCGTTCGATGAAGCTTCAACACTTTAACCTGACAATTTTATTGACTTTCAGACATATAAAAATTTTAAGTCATAAATTAGCCAATTTGTAGAATAGAATTTGGGTATGCCAAGAAGTCAATTTAACAAATTATGAGAATATCTTTTGCAAAAACGATTTCCTACTAATTGTTATATAAGCATACAAATATAAGAATAAATAATTACATATTCTCCATGTTTTTCAACCAAGTTATTAATAATCGTTTCGATACCGCTTCCAGGTGGGCCGACAAGGGCCAAGACAGCCGAATTGCAATTTATCTGTACCAGATCTTCCCCAAGGGGTGGTGGTTCGATGTGGTTGTACAACAGACTGTAAGTGTGATTTTTTATTGCTTCATTGAAAAGGTTGTTGCCGTACATACAGCGAGCGTTCACCTGGATAGTTTTTTTTTACAAGTTTACATATTTCTATTGTGAATAAGAAAAATAACAAATACCCTTTCTGGAATGCCGATCTTTTCCTTGTTGATCTTTTCAATCTTAGGACACAGGTAGATCAAGTGTCTGTATATGTCAGGCACGTTCATTATTTCATTTCCATGAATGACAAGCTCTTTCAGCTCGGTCATTTTTTCTATGTCATTCAAAACCTGAATCATGCTAAGGTAATTGTTAGAAGCGATTAACTTCTTAAGTCTTGCTGTACTCTGAAAGATGTATCCCATTTTTAAATTATTATTAATCTAAAAAAATATATATTTTATTTATAAGTGATGTTACAATGAAACTCAAAGATTCTAGTCTATTCGAATCCATGTTGAGTTCTTCGAGTGTTATGACTGTTTTGAACGGTAAATAATTTTCAGTGTGTGTGACATCTTGCGTTTCTCCTATTATTTGATTGTGAGACAAATCTAACTCGACGAGCGGTATTCCAAACAAATTTTGTACAGTGGTGATCAAATTGTTCGACAAATTCAAATATTTTAAATACCTGAAGAATAAAAATTTATTATGTACACTTTGAAATTTCATTATCTTCCTATATTCATCCAGTTTGTAGTAAGGAAAATGTAAGTCATCCTCACTCATAGCTATTATGCAAAATTATTATAAATGAGACTTAATTTTCATAATGCTGAAAAATGTTGGAACTGATTCAGACTTAAAGAAATTTGAAACTGTCTATTACAAACTTAATTTTCAATTTGTAGACATCTTTAAGATTGTTTTGCGCTGATGATGACCACGAAATAGGAAAAAAGCTTGGCATATTTATTTTTTCATTCAGACCTTAAGAAGATCCAGATTATTACATATAACATTAACATTACTATACATCTAACACTTGAAGCATTATTTCATAAAACAGCATAAAACAATACAATTAAGTAAATGCAATTATACAATATTGGCTTCATTATTTATTCCAATTAATAATTAAAAAACAAAAACTTCTAAAAAGCCAAAATTAAAATTCTAACATATGTTTTGATAAAATTAAGTTTTTAACTTTACTTTTTTCCATGACACTTACTTCATATTTCTCAAGCCTTCGTTGATCTCTGTGATTTGATTGTTCGACAGGTTCAAATGTTTGACAGACCAGTATGGTGTGAAGTCAGGGATCTCTGTGAACCGGTTAAACGAGAGGTTGACATAAGTGAGGAACCAAGGGGCCGGCTTGATGTTGAAAGTGCTGAGCATATTGAACGAGGCATCGATCAGCATGAGATACGGGACATGCTGCAAAGGAGTTAAATCTTGGATGACGTTATGGGACAGATCGATGTACTGAAGGTACTTGTATTTCGCAAGGAGGCTCACATCAGCAATATTCTACAAAATTGATCGATTGAGATAATTTTGAAGGAAAATTGAAAAAATCTACAGCTTACTTTGTTAGGGAGCTGGAGCTTGGTCAAAGCATAGGAAACTGTATTTGGCACTCGGTCTAAATTGGTAAGCCCTGTAGCCATAATTAGGCCGCTTAGACCTCCAAGCAGCTCTTTATTTTGCAGTTTAAGATCGCTGTATCTGATTCAAATACTCAAGTTATAAAAATATATATTCACTTAGGAAAACAATTTACTTGAATATCCTTTTAATTGGATGTAGATTTTCTGCCCAAGGCTTCTCGTAATGCATAAAAGGGAACCATCCTAGGTCATGCGTTAAATCAAACTCATCATAAGGCAAGAAACGGAAATCAGTCTGGTCGGCAAACAAATCATCAAACGGGGTCTTTTCCATTGGAGCAATGAACTCACCATCATAATACAAGTCAAACCTCGTTTGTTCCTGGTTATGTAAAAATATTAACAAAATAAAAAATATTTCACTATCGCAAATTTACTTCGCTTTCTTCTTCCTCTTCCTCCATTTTTACTTCTGGCTTGGAACCCTCAAGTAGCTCCTCGATTGTACGATTGTAGCCAAGTGTTCTGAGTAGCCGTTGTCTCAACCTTTCCTTCGTGTCCTCAGATGGTGAGGCGTATGAACCACCATACCCATACATACTTGGACGAGACAAAAAAACCGACATCTTTGTAATTTCTAACTCACAAAACAACACAAGATACTAAGTTAAATATGAAAATTTATAAATACAACATATGAAACACATAGCTTTATATTAATTATAAAGCTTTTTAACCAACTGATGAGCTTGTTTTTTAATAAATGGAAAAATATTTCTTATTTTTACTTGTGTGATATTTCTATATTAACTACAATCAAAATATACCTGAATTTGTAGAACAGTGAATCCTGCTGGATTAGTCTGGTAGATTTATTTTGTAGACCCAAATTATCAGTCCAGCCTCAATAATTCTGCAATTTGTTTTATAAATAATTTAAATCGTCTATCATCTAATGTACAAGTCGTTATCAAAACTAGACTTGCCTTTCAACAGTTTGATCGTCCAACATTAAATTAAAACAGACTAGGATGATAAAAATGCAAATAATTTATAACTAATTTTTATTTATTGTAGTAATAATTTGTCATTGTTAACATTGTTACATGTTTAAAACGTGTAAAAACAAGTTTTGTGTTTAGTTTGATAGAATCGCCTTGTTTTTAATTTTTCTTGGCTCCTAGGACCTAGAAAAGATGCTGAGACCCATGTTTGATATTTTTTGACCTAGTATCACCAAAAGTTTCATTAAAATATGGAGTAATGCTATTTTTCCAGCAAATGCCGTTGATATTTAAAATTTGTCCAAGTTCTCGAGCTTTATACCTCTCATCATCCTGCCATTACAGTCTACACTGGTTGAATCTATATTGACGAGGCATAAGAACTAGCTGATAGCACAAAATGATTCAAACAAAAATTGATTGTGTGGTTAGATAATGTATGTAAACATATAGAATATATATGCCCCATATTTCTTTTTGTTTTCCTCTAAAATATAAAATGGATAGGTAAAAGGAATGGATAAATAATTAAAAAACATATTTAACTAGGCATTATATCTTTAATTTATTGATTTGAAATTCTTACAAGCAAAAAGCAGCCTTGGTCTAACCAGATTGAGAAAAATATCAAAAAAGAGTTCTATAAATTATGATGAATATATAATTTTTCCATAATAAAAAAAAGTAAAAATAGGGAATGACTGTGTTGTGTTTTGAAATTATTGGCCTCCTCGGAGTCTCAGTACGAGGTGGAGAGTAGATTCTTTCTGAATATTGTAATCGGAGAGTGTACGACCATCTTCCAGTTGCTTGCCGGCAAAGATGAGCCTTTGCTGATCTGGGGGAATTCCTTCTTTATCTTGGATTTTGGCTTTTACGTTTTCAATGGTATCTGATGGCTCGACTTCGAGAGTGATGGTTTTGCCAGTCAAAGTCTTGACGAAGATCTGCATGCCGCCTCTGAGCCTCAAGACAAGATGAAGAGTGGATTCTTTCTGGATGTTGTAATCCGAAAGTGTGCGTCCGTCTTCCAATTGCTTTCCAGCAAAAATTAACCTCTGCTGGTCTGGAGGGATCCCTTCCTTATCCTGAATCTTAGCTTTGACATTATCAATGGTGTCAGATGGCTCGACTTCGAGGGTGATTGTCTTTCCTGTTAAAGTTTTCACAAAGATTTGCATACCTCCTCTGAGCCTTAAAACAAGGTGGAGTGTGGATTCTTTTTGGATATTGTAATCTGATAATGTACGACCATCTTCAAGTTGTTTGCCGGCAAAAATCAATCTCTGCTGATCTGGAGGGATACCTTCTTTGTCTTGAATTTTAGCTTTTACGTTTTCAATTGTATCAGAAGGTTCGACTTCCAAGGTGATTGTTTTCCCTGTTAATGTTTTCACAAAGATTTGCATTCCACCACGGAGCCTTAGGACAAGATGAAGAGTGGATTCTTTCTGGATGTTATAATCAGAAAGAGTGCGCCCATCTTCTAACTGCTTACCGGCAAAGATGAGCCTCTGCTGGTCTGGTGGGATACCTTCTTTATCCTGAATTTTCGCTTTGACATTTTCAATCGTATCCGATGGTTCGACTTCAAGAGTGATCGTCTTTCCTGTTAAAGTTTTCACAAAGATTTGCATACCTCCTCTCAGCCTCAAAACGAGGTGAAGGGTGGATTCTTTTTGAATATTGTAGTCCGAAAGAGTGCGTCCATCTTCCAACTGTTTTCCAGCGAAGATTAACCTCTGTTGATCTGGTGGGATGCCTTCTTTATCCTGAATCTTGGCCTTAACATTTTCAATTGTGTCGGATGGTTCGACCTCAAGAGTGATGGTTTTGCCTGTCAAAGTCTTTACGAATATTTGCATACCTCCTCTCAACCTGAGAACCAAATGCAAAGTCGATTCCTTTTGAATGTTATAATCTGAGAGCGTACGCCCATCCTCGAGTTGTTTTCCGGCAAAAATCAGCCTCTGCTGGTCTGGGGGAATGCCTTCTTTGTCTTGTATTTTAGCTTTGACATTTTCAATAGTGTCTGATGGCTCGACTTCTAAAGTTATGGTCTTTCCGGTTAGAGTTTTAACAAAAATTTGCATCCCTCCTCGCAATCTCAATACAAGATGGAGGGTAGATTCTTTCTGAATGTTATAATCGGAAAGTGTTCGGCCGTCTTCAAGTTGCTTTCCTGCAAAAATCAACCTCTGCTGATCTGGAGGAATACCCTCTTTATCTTGAATCTTAGCTTTAACATTTTCAATTGTATCAGAAGGCTCGACTTCCAAAGTGATGGTCTTTCCTGTAAGAGTCTTCACGAAGATCTGCATGCCTCCTCTCAATCTCAACACAAGGTGGAGGGTTGATTCTTTTTGAATGTTATAGTCAGAAAGGGTTCGACCATCTTCAAGCTGTTTTCCAGCGAAAATCAACCTCTGCTGATCTGGGGGGATTCCTTCTTTATCTTGGATCTTTGCCTTGACATTTTCAATAGTGTCGGAAGGCTCTACTTCAAGTGTAATAGTCTTGCCGGTTAAAGTCTTTACGAAGATCTGCATCCCACCTCTGAGACGGAGGACCAAGTGCAGAGTCGATTCCTTTTGAATGTTATAATCCGAGAGAGTTCTACCATCCTCAAGTTGCTTGCCAGCGAAAATCAGCCTTTGTTGGTCTGGCGGGATACCTTCTTTGTCCTGGATTTTGGCCTTCACATTCTCAATTGTATCTGAAGGCTCAACTTCCAATGTGATGGTTTTTCCGGTCAAAGTTTTCACAAAGATCTGCATTGTTCTGTAAACAAAAAATAACATAATATTAATAAACTTTGTTTATCAAACGACAACTGGCAAAGAAGTATAGGAAGTTACATAAGGAAAGAACATTGACAATCTAATTTTAAACTGAAATGTGTTAACCATGCCAAATGTATAAAACAAAGGTCAAGAATAACAGCTGTACCAGGAAGAACTGCCAAGATGCCTTCACAGTATTAAGTTATTTATTTATTTTAAATAAGTAAAATATAAATATTTCATGTATTTTGAAAATGGTTCAAAACACTGCTGGAAAATGAATGGAAGTGATTTCTCTTCTTAAAAGTGAAAGGTGTGTTGAGATAGAACTATAACAGTTAGCTGATAGCATTGAACTCTCGTTTCCTAAAATACAAATATAGGCCACACCCAGTGGGTTTTAGATTGAGCTAATCTAAAAGTCAATATTAGGAATTAAAATTTCTAAGAAAATAGAAACCTTTCTTCAGTTAAATTAGGCCGTTTAAAATCTTATCTGCTTATATCTTTTTGATGTCCTGTTTTAAAAGAACTAATTTGTTTTTAATAGCTAGGGAAATGGTCACTTATTAAAACTAACCTAATTCAGGAAAACTGTTTTTTTTTTTTTTTTCATTAATTTAAGTTGTCTCTAGACAATAGTGCACTTTGCTACAATGAAAATCAAAGAGGCTTGTGTCTAATTTCCAAATATGCCCAGAATAATCCAGCTTTTAAATAATATAAACACAAGGGGGGGGGGGTCATATATAAAATAGCAAAGAACTTTTTTTTCTGCCTATACTATCTGTGCCAGAGCTTATTGCCATTATCTGGGCCAAAAGATTTTATGCTATATTATCAACTGTGTTATGGATTGAATTTGAGTTAATGTGCAAATGAACTGAATAAATTACTAGTTTATCACCTCAGAAGAAGAAATCTCCTTATTTAAACTTTTACTGTTCACGAGAGGTCTAACAACTTTACAATATATCCCATGTGTGGTGTTCAGTGACCGTTAGCCAATGATTATTTGGAGATAGAGAGGTGCGGTCTGGTGTGACGTAGGTTTTAGAAAACATTTTCTTTATCATGCCAATGTTTCGATCTTAGAGATCATCTTCAGGGCCTGGGATTTTATAACATCTGTTTGAATCTTACAAATACATTTACATTTTTTTTCCCACATCCTAAATGTGTTTGTAAAATTCAAACCATATTTATAAATCCCAGGCCCTGAAGATGATCTCAATAAAGTTAGAAATGCTGGCATGATAAAGAAAATGTTTTTCTAAAACCGCACCTCAAATTCTCCAAATAATCAATATCCTATAATAAATTAAAAAGTAAAGGGCTCTGCTGGGATTTGAACCCACAACTGCAAGCATTGCAAATACCACTGGGACATCGAGGTCTCTCATCATTACAATTTATCTATATTGAGTTCCCAACTAGTTAAGAAAGTTCTCCAAGATTTCTTCTATGTTCTTTTTCACAAAACCACAAGAGTGAGCCAAAGTGCACCTGTCAGAGCAAAATGATTGAAAATGACCAAGCTACAGATTTATAAATCAGCAAACTCAGATGGCTAACTCAATGATTATTGGATAATGACACTATATTAAAGGTTAAATATGAAAAATCCATATAATATCTGTTAACAGGATTACTGAAATATCTCAAATAATTATAAACTGTAAAACATTTGGGTAATCCTATCTCAAACAAATATAAAATATCAGCAAAATTAGTTTTCAATCTGCTCATAAATTGAACAAATGTGTCATCGATCAAGGTTTAAAGTTACAACCGCAAGTGTTTTTTTTTCTGTTCGGTCCCGCTGTGGGGCTGTAGCAACTTTCGAATACTAGCCAGTATGTATATGATCACTAAACAGGATTGATGGCTACCATAGAAAACATGGCATTTTTTTCACCTTGTGTTCAAATAGTACGTTTACTAACAAAACAGATGTTATTGGGTACGTCTATATGTAAATGAGACTTTCAAAGGTATCTTTTCTACTACGTTTGTGGATTTAGGGGAAAAACAACACAAGCATTTACAACAATTAAATATAGAATTAAAATTGGAACAAAAATGCAAATATGGCATTAATCTGATGCTCTGTACTTCAGACTGGACAACAAAAAACTGTAAATTGACCTTACACACCACGACCAATATTGGTCTATTGTGCAATCTTAGTTACTATCCAGGGTCGTTAAGCTTGAGGCTTTTTTTCAGACCAAAGCTGTCCTTCGAGCTTTACGTTTTTCCTCCAAGAATCTGAATTTCAGCATAAGACTTGACATCAACAGAAGAGGTGTTCAACTGTTTCTTCTTCCTGGCAATTTCTGCTGCTCGGATTATACTTCCTGAGTCTGCTGTGTCCAGTCAGCAACCCTATCATTCTAGTCCTAACAAATTGACCTAACCTCAAAATTTTACAAGTTAAAACTCATGACGTCATAATTCATTCCACATACTTGCTTAATATATAATAGATACAAATATCCTGAATTGACTATAGTCAATTACATTAGCAAAGGTCCTAATTAAGGGCGATTCTTAATACTCTGTTCTTAAATGAGTAAATTTGACACTAGAGCTGTTAACGAAAGTAACGGCCCTTAGAGCTTAGACACGAGTTAAGTGCAATGAGAAAAGTCTTAATTATTAATAGACATGAATCAAACTAAAAACTATGTGACAATTACGTAAACGGGAACGCGATGTAACAATCAATTTGCTGAGCATCACCAACGATTGAATCATTAAACACGTTATATACATTTTTTTAGTGTTACCTTGTTGGGCAATATAAAATAATGTAATGTATTATAACAGATCTCACAATAGTAATTAATTTTAAAAAAAGCCATGTCGTCAATCCATAAGTTGTTCAAAAGAGTAGTGACGTAGGAACTTTTATTGATTACTCGTAAGGAAATGAGTCGTTGTTCAGAGAGATTAATCGTACATTGAAAATTTTTTCTCCATTAAACCATTTAAAGAATTGATGCTTGGAAAGTTTTCTTTAAAAAATTCAAAATGACGAAAGGCCACGATGTATTGACGTCAATATGGAGGATTCCTGAAATGGGCATTGCACAATTGCTTTCCTGTTTTAAAATTATAAATTGAAAAAGGGAACTTACAACAATACTCGACTGCGAATTATAACAGTGGCGAAAACAAGTCGAAATAATGCAATTTATGAGTACAAACTATTTAAAATCGGAAATAAAATGGAAGATAAAAACAATTGATTTAGATTTTAAAAATAAATGAAGTGTGGACAATATGATTTTTAAAAAAGTTTTAAATTAATTTTTTCTTTTTGTTAAACATAAGACTCACCTTTTTTGTTATTCTGGTAAAAACGAAATTGAAAGAGGTTTGAAACGACGTGATCAATTTCTGGTGAGAGAGTGTGGGATATGATCTGGGGGAGGGTTAATAATACCTTCTGAGTGACGGTGGGAGTCGGGCCCGTGGCAGCCGCTCATTGGACGCTATTTTCGCTTCCACGACTCACATGATTGACTCTCTTTTTCCACATTTTCTCTTGTATCGTGGAAAATCGAGACCGGGCGGACCAACACTCCGAGGTGGGTGACAAAAGAGAAAAGGATTAAAAAACTTACCTTTTTTCATCCAGGGATCGCAGATGTTTTTTACTCGCGTTGCCGGCCCTCTCTCAGATTTTCCTCCCCTCTTCGGTCAAACTGACATTTCGCCTAATTTTTGTATTTTTCCTACGGATATCTACCAGTCCCGTGTTTTAATCACTACGTGTGGTCTGTTTTATAATTGTATGTTTTCATTGTAAAGTGTAAACTAATCGGGTTTTTTTTTTGTCGCGATTGTTATTTTGTTCCTATTTTGACATTTGTGATTCATATCGTTTTGGCCACAGGTGATTCGACAAGATGGTCTCCCTTTTTGCTGGGTTTTAGTTTTTTTAAAAATTTATATTTATATAGTTAATTTTTTATTATTAAAAAAAGAAGAAAAAAAAGTATGTCGTAATTTAATGTGTTTTTGATTTGAGTGACAAAGAATAAAAGGGAGATATCTTTTATTTTGTTCCGTCTCACACGGTTCGCTCAGCAAACTTAGTAAGTTTTATCTTTATGAAATTACTCAGTGTATCAAGTCACAAGACATGGTGACATATTACTAGCTAAACATGCAATCTGTATTTTTATAAAGAATTGTCTTTATTGAATAAAATGTCGAGAAAGGTCGAGAAGCCGGTCGGAGTTTGCGTCCTGTACGGCTATCTGAAACGATTCAAACACGAGAATGCACTATTGAACAAAGACCCGACAAAATTCGACGTCAAAGTTCAAGAAGCCGAAGCGATCCTTGAAAACTTGAACTTCCAATTCGAGCAGCACGTCGTACTTTCCAAGATGTACAGCCTGTCTTTGAACCATTTGGACAAGGCCGTCAACCACGCCCTGGAATGTGTCAAGTTCCATCCTGAACTTTACGAACTTTGGAATCATCTGGGAGAGCTTTACTACACACAAGGCCGGTTCCCACAGGCGGAGAAGTGTTTCAGTCTCGCCATGGAGAAAAAGTGTAACCCGTATTCACTTAGGAATCTGTCGATGGTCATGAAGGTCTGCAAACCATCTGATGATGTAGAGAAATACACCGGGAGGATTTTAAAGAGCATCGAGTATGCTTCACAGTCATTAGAGTTGGATGATTCAGACCCGGATACTTACAATCTAATCGGTACGGCTTTTCTCGCAGCATACTTCATACCTCCAAAAGACCCTTTGTACCTTTGCAAGGCTTATGCTGCATTTAAAAACGGTGAAAATTGCCCTCTAGGAAATTTGAACTGTTTGATACCATACAACAAACATGTTTTGTTTAAATATCTCCATCTCTATACAGAAGCTTTACAAATGCTTGATCAAGCGCAAAAACTCTCTCCCTCTTGGGCATTACCTGCCAAGGATAAAAAATCCATAATATCATTTTTAGAAAAAATACATGATTCGTATGTGACAAACACTAAATCTAAAGACTTGCTGCAGATTAAAAAAAAATTAAGCAAACAGAAATTCCTTCAAAACAAGTTTTCAAATAAAGTACAAGGAGTAGAAGGACTTGATATTGGACGTAACCCTGATTGTTGTGTCGTCGGGAGGGTCATTTGGAACATTCCGTCCACTCAGTCTTTTCCCAGCGTCCTGGGACTGTGCGATAACACAGGGCAGAGAGTCATCGTGTTGTCGATAGTTCCTTATTTGGAAAAGTCAGTTGGCCTTTATAATACACTTACAATAAACAAACCTTATTTGAAAGAAATAGCTTTCACTATCGACGGGAAGAGCCATAAATTTCCTTTAATCACAGTCTTTAAAGCTGAAAACGTTTTAATCGGTGGAAAACCGTTGAAATACACTGGTAACGTCGATACAAAATTCAATTGCCACGAATATTTACAATTGAAAACTTTATAAATTAGTTTTTATTTTTGTCAATTTTGATTAATAAACTATAGTTATTTGGTCTATTCTTGCATGGAAATAATTTAAACTTGATATTGCTCTGGGTAATCTTACAGTAGGTTGTATAATTTGATTGTTAAATAACTTCTGCCTTCAATTTTAATTACACTGATGGACAAAATAAATGCACCACCCTTAAATATTAAAGTACTTAGGTTTATTCATATTTAGCATATCAGAAATAGGTTTGGTTATAAAAATAAAACATTTATAAAGTAAATGTTTATATCTTTAAAAAAAAATTTAGTAAAGGAGAGAAAAAAAAAAAAATGTAAAGTAAAATGTTTAGTCGCTGAATATATTTGACCGATACACATCTGACACAATAAAAGCTTATTGTGGAAAAGACAATTTACTTACTACCCATCAACTTATTATGGAGTTCTACAAAATCAGGATAGACACTATCAAAAAAGTGTATGGTGTTTAGTGACCGTTAATTAATGATTATTTAGAGATTGTGACATGCTGTCTGGTGTGACGTAGGTTCAGACAACTATTTTCTTTATCGTGCCAACATTTCAATCTTTATTAAGATCATGTAGGATGTGAAAAATTAATTTATACAATGTTACAAATTTTAGACTCAAAGTATTTGTATTCATTCAAAGTGTTTACACAGTAGACAAACGCTTTGAGTGAGTACAAATACTTTGATTGAATCTGAAATTTCTAGTATATATTTTCCACATCCTACATGTATTTGTATAATTTCAACAATGCTTATAAATCCTAGGCCCTAGAGGATGATCTCAATAAAGATCGAAATATTGGCACGATAAAGAAAATGTTTTTCTGAACCTACGCACACCAGTCCGCATCTCACATTCTTCAAATAACTAATAAAAATAATGTACTTGTTTTGTGGTTTATCATCTTACTCGTTCGTCATTAGTCTAGTGGATTGTACTTATTGTATTGGTAATTATATTGATTCGGGGGCCTTCTTGATCTTACTAGACATTTCTGTATTCAAGTTAACATGAGTTAACATCTTACAAACATCATGAATACCCCTGTTATCTCAATTTTTTTTCCTTTGCTCATTGTAACAATATAATTTTTTTAAATTATAAAACTCATAATTTAATTATTTTATTATTAGGGACTACACTATTCATAATATAATTATTTTATTGCTAGTTGAACTTTGAAAAAGTTAATAGTGTTTTTTTGCTTTTATATGACAAGTTGTAACTTGTGTGACTAAAAGGGAATTTTTGTACTTCATTCCTTGAAGTACCCTGGCTTCTTAGTTATTTTCCTCCATATCTTACTCCTACTTTCATTCTCCATCTTTTTTCTCCAACCCTACCATTTTCAATTCTTCCTCCACCTCCTCCAACCATTATTTTCCAGTTTGGGACCAAATATTTTTCTCAATACTTTTCTCTCCTAAATTCTAATCGTGTGGCAGTTGCTATGGCTAAGTAACCATAGGTAAGATAGCTGTTTTATAAATTCGGAGTTTATACCTATGTGAAATGGACTTGGACTTTATAAACTCATTCAGTACATAGAGAAATTTACTATCTGCAGCGGATTTTTATTTTACTCCACTTTTAACCTCCCACTGCTTTGTGAATATAGCGCCCAAATACTTAAATTTGTTTATATTTTAAAAAAATTTCAACAGTTTTCGATTGACATTTTCTGTTATCAAACCTTGAAGCTTTCTTGAGTAAATTCTCATAATTTACTCTTGACCCCACAGACTTTGCCATTCTTTCTGGTTGCTTATATCTCTCTTCTAATGTCTTAACAGAAATACTAAAATCCAACCTGTCCAATAGGTACTTTCAAGTATGTATCAGAGCATCCTTCACCCCATCCACTTCCCGAAGTGGGTGTTCTGCAGTATTCCTTATTCACAGCAGACATTCTTTTATCTTGATTCAGTTTCATTAATATCTTACTATGCAGATCTCATTAATCCCAATACAATACTCACATATGCAGATCACCACCTTTTCCTGCAAGCCATCTCTGGCAGCCTCCAGGATTATCCTGTTTGGAAGATTGGTTCAAGAAATGACTTAAAACCAAATCCCAGTAAAAATAACTTTTACCCTCTGTCATTTCATTTCTCCAATCTACTTCTACAGCCCTGTTCCTCTCCCAGCAACCAATGTTGTCAGCAATTTTGGACTTACTTGGAAAACTCTGACTCAAAAGAATAGAACTGAACAGATGCCTCATTACTACTACAACCAATCTGGGTGTATGGAATTAAACTGTGGTTCAACCAAGTGTTCTAAACTTCAAATAGTACAGTAACACCAGTCCAAAATCTTTCAAACCTACCCAAACTACCTACTTTATATCCAATCATATTTTCCACACAGACCTTCAAATCCCATTTGCCATCCAAACTGCAAGCAGTCCATCATACCCTGGAACCCCTATATCTTTCATCCCGAACCCTTCCTGAAGTCCTCCACTATTAATAAAGGGTTTCTTCTCCAGTCTTGAAAAAAATTCAATAAAATCAACAGATCTGCTTGTGAAGTGCTTAAGCATATAATGCAATAATTAAAAAATGCTAATTATAAAACAAATTTTGAGACATGATTTAAAAAAAATTTCTTAAAATTTTTTAAAAATAATCTACTGGTATTTTTCAGCACAATTTGAAAAAGGACAAACATTGCAATAATGTCGGACAGAAAGGCGGAGTTGGAAAAGAAGAAGGCCAAACTTCAAGCTATCCGCGAGGAGAAAGAAAAAAGAAGAAAAGAGAGAGAACAGAGAGATGTAAATTTTTTTTTGTATTAATACTTCAAAATGCTCAAACAGATTCTAATTTCCAGGCGGAAGAAGCAGCTTTACGAAAGTCCAACCCGGACCAAGATCAGAAGAAGGTTGACGAAATGCTCTCATCTCTTGGTATTGCCCCAGTTTCAGGTTATTATCAATTATTTCAATTATTAATCTACATATAGAAAAGGATCATACCTTAAGCCCAGGCTGATTTACGGACCTCTTCTATATATACTCTTCTAAATAGTTAATTTTCTTTTCCTATTTGGGACAGTAATATTTACACTAATTTGAAATTGTCTCTTTGAAGTTTTGGAAATTTGATATTTTTTTAAGCCAATTTTTTTTTATATATGTTTCTGTGATAATGTAAGCCTTGACTTGGGGTGTTTACATTCCACAAATATGGTTTTTGTCACATCTGATTTTTTTATAACTGAAAAAATAATAAAAGATTTATTTTTTTATTTTTTTCAAAAGATGTAGGCCCGTATATCAAAGGATCTGATGTGGGGCACTTTGAAAAACCTGGTAATGAGATAAATGTAAAAAAAGAGTGATTTTTTGTGATTGAAAAAATGTATTCTTCTAAATTGCATGATAAGCATTTATATTTATAATTTTTTTATATAACCAATGTGTGTGTAACCAAAGTTTTTTCTCTAATTTTTGCAACAAACTATAACACTTCAGTGGCCATATCAAAGAAATCATTTTATTTAAATCCATACTTTGACATTTCATGGTTGTTGCTCACTTCTTGTCATTGTGACAATTGATTGAAAAACTCAAGGATTTAAATATTAGTCCTAACGGCGTTCTAATAACATTATTTTATTTATACAAGGGCTTTATGTATAAATAAAATGGGCACAAAGGAAAAGTTCAAAAGATAAACAGTATATTGTGTGAAGACTGCGGTTACAATGATTGTTACAATGTCTAGATAAAATCTTGGCACAGCTATCCCGAGTTTTAATCCCAGCTCAACCATTGAGGCTTCTTGACTCTACGTCATCTCAATTTGTTAACAAACTTCTTTAGTTCGTGAAGATTTAAAAAAAAATCTGTTGGGCAAATAAGTAAAGAATGTGGATAAACCATGCAAATAATATTCCTATATTATATCAGTAAAAATTGAACATTGTCCTTCTTGACTTGAAACTTAAGAGGTAATCTCAAAATATACTGGTCCGATTTTGATCATATTAAAAAAATTAGATGACCAGATAACTACTAATTTTTTTAGACACATTCCTTTTGATCATAGGAATGACATAGACGCAAAACATTTAATCTTAACTAATGTAATCCCCTTCATTGCGATGCCTGAAAGGTGGGAACTGTATGCAGAGAACGAGACGTCTATACCATATCATCAATGATGTCAGTGCAGGCGTACACAGACGAATGAAAAACAATGCCATTTACAGTTTTAAGCAACTCTCTGCCTCTTTGTACTTCAGTATAAAAGTAAAGATACTAGAGTGCAATATCACACTTGCAGTACCTCACTGGGAAAAGCAAGAGGACAATATTCTCAATGTGTTCACAGCTGTGGCAAAACGCAAAATTTAAACGGTTTCATTATTTCTCAGTAAAGGATTACTGGAAATTTAATATATTTTTACTATTTGCATCCATTCTAGAGGGGTGAATTACTCTGATGGGGACTGACAGTAATGTCCGCAACTGTTATAGAGGGGTATTTATAAAACCAAAAATTGCTTAATTCTATGTTTGTATAGACTTTTTTGAATATTTTTTATTTATTTTGAAATTAAATGAAATTTAAACCGATTTCTTTGGGAGATGTCAAAATAAGCTAACTCGGTTTTTTGTCTGAGAAAAGATTAATAGCTTGATTTTATTACATTTTTTCTGTCTTTTGATGAAATGATTTTATTTCTCAGATGTGTTATCAAGCCTTTCCAGCATACCTTCTATTGGAACACCCGAAGGGCTCAATCGCTCACCCCGTGGGACGCCAGATAGAGGAAGCTGCAGCGCTACACCAGATTCAAGCCTTCAGCCCACCCAGACGCCAAGTCAAGGGTATGTCCTTTCAACCTTTTCCACAACCAAGGACGAAGTTTTCATATTGTATTATCATTCAGCAAAAAGAAACTTCCAAAGCTGACTACTGTCTCGTACCCGACTACCGTGATTCCTCCTCTCGAAACTGTAGTTTACACAAAACAGACTCAGACGGCGCACTCGAATACTGAGCGAGATGGTAAGTCATATTTCATAGTCACAGGTACAATGGTAAAAACAGTGTAAAACATCGCTTAATGGTAGCAGGCAGGCTTTTATCGAAGCAAAATATCCAATTTGAATAATAAAAAACTTGTGCATGACATTTTTTGTTCAAAATTAAACATTGTAAAAAAATATTAGCACAAAGAATTTTTAAATTAACTTTTTTGTTTAATGTACTAACTATACATGTTAATTCATTGGAGGTCAATTTTCAGGAAGTAACGCCACTTTAAAGTATAGAGAAAAAATTAACTATTCGTCTCCTTTCCTTGTTTTTGTACTCTTTGTTTTCTTAATTACCTGGTGTCATAAGGCTTGTTTTGTTTGCACACTCTTAACATCTTCTATTTTTCAATTGATTCCGAGTCTTTCTAAAAAGGATCTGATTCTTCTTCCCCTCTGAAAGGCTACTATGAAGATTGGTTCCGCCCAAGGAAAGGTGCGTTATGCTTAATGCTATGCAGAGGTGTTCACAGAATAAAATGTCTATTTGTTTAAAAAAAAAAAGAAAAAAATACCCTTTATAATTTGGCAAAAAAATGGAAATCTTTTTTTTTTAAATCTGTTAACAACTTTAAGCACACGGATAGCAAAGGTATATCGATTCTCCAGATGATACATCAATATTTATTACATTTCATTATAAAGGGAATTGCATGACAATTTGGTACTGCATGTTTTTTTTGTCTTTTTTTTTCTGTAAAAGACATAAAAAGAAATTTTCAGAGGCAAAAGATTTTTGGTAATTTTCTTTATTGATAAGAAGATTGATAATTAATTACTTGCCACTGAAAATTTTTGATACTTTTTGATGACTGTTAATACCATTAGAAAACACTATTAGACTTAGACGATACTTACACTTTTAGTTTTTAATCAATGTTTATGAAACAGGCAAATGGCTTGGTTTATTTTTTGTTAGAATTGCACAAGCAACAGATAAATTTATTGTTATTTTTTGTCAAAAAGTTTTAAAACAAAATCTGTTTATTTATTTTTTTGAAATGCAAATATAAGAATAAATTCATAAAGATTATGTAGTGCCCATTTTTGGTAGTCTTTTCTGTAGTTATAAACTTTAACACGTTGACTGTGTTAATACGTGTCATGTCAACTGCCCTTCTAGGTGCGATGGACACACGGTCTGTGACCTCCCATTTCTACTTTTTTAACACTTCCTTTTCACCTGCTATACAGTTCTGTTCATAATTATTAGGGCTGCCCCAGAAAAGGCAAAAAGTTACTGGCGGTCATTGCTATTTTTCTAACTGGAAGTGATTTTTAATTTTTTTTATTTATTCTGTGAAAACCAGGTAATTTGATTTTCTGTGTATGTTTTGGTTAGTTTAATTAATCATTTACCCATTCTGTATGATTCCGTGAAATAAAGGAAGAATTATTGCAGAAAGTTGAAAAATTATTACTCAAGCACACTCAAATTGAACATATGTTCTATGGGTTGCCTACAATTTTTTATTTAAGTTTATTTATGTAACGCTGTGAGGGACGCCACTTGCATCATATAATTTATTTCACTTACATAAACATAATAAAAAAATTACATCATTGTTAAGTATCAGAGTTATTTTACATAATAAATTTGGTTCCACTGTAACCAAAATGGCGAAGCATAGAACACAGCCAACGTGTTAAATCAGGTAATGTCTTGTTGCCAGTTTGAAACAATAATGCTGGGGATTTTATGTGATTTCATTCATAAAGATTTTTTTTTTTTTGTCAAAGGGCTTTTCTTGGTGACCCCTGGCTGAGTGTTAACAGTGTTTTATTCTCATATTTGCTATCCCGGCATTTCTGGGCTTTCCCAGCATTGCCCTTATATATTTTTTAAGTTAATGAATAAATAATATTATAATTAGGAGCAGATATAATATAAAATTTGTTAATGGGAGAAATTTAATCTATTAAACAAAGAAAAAATAAGATATGTAGTGGTTGGTTAGCAAGATTGTAGATCAATCATATTTTGTGTTGTGTACTCTAGCAAAAAGTACGCCAGTTTCATTTGTCATTTTCATTTTGTTTGCTATTTAAAAAAAAAAAAATTACTTTCACTTCAGCACTATGAACTGTACTTATTTGTATTGTGTAAAGATTGAAAATTAATTTTTATCTGTTTCTTTTCCTCCCTTTCCTCTTTATCATTCATGGGATGCAGCCCAGGCGTTCGGATATTACGGTAAGTTGTATGATTCTCAATATTCGCTTCTCTTTAACACTGAATTATATTGTTACATATATTACCTCGACAGATGTAGATCATGTTGATATCTGTTGGATTAATTGATGCATTTTAACATGCATGGTTGTTTCAAGTATGCTTTACCCATGTTGAGTATGTTTTGTAATTATAATAGAAAAAAATTGAAAGATAAAATATATATATGTATATATTTAGTAGAATTGAGAGCTTTTATTTATTTATTTATTTGTTGAAACGTGTTTAGTTTTAAGTTCTGTAAGAAGGATTCCAATGTCTTTTTAATTTAGAAGATTCATAAAAAAAAGAAACAAATTAACGCACCCTCAATTTAGTTTTTTGTTGTTGAAAATTTGATTTAGAGCTTATTTATTTTTGTACTTTTTATACTTTCTTTTGTTTCACTTTTCTTCAAGGGTTTAGTTCAAGGGTTTTAATGCTTAAAAAAATATTTTATTTAGTTTCAAAAGTGTTTCAAGTAGACTTGGGCAGTACTTTCAAAAAGGTTTTGTGAGTTTGTAGCTTATTTTTTTGTGGTAACACTAGCTTTTCACGTTAAAAGTATAAGTAGTAAAAGTTAATAATCTTTGTTGTTTCCTGCCCAAAACTACGAGTTATTGTTTTTCTAATTAAGTGTAGGAATGGCTGTGTAAACTGTGTTATCCTAAAGTTTTGCTATTTTAAATTCTTTATATCCAAGAAGCTTAATGCATGAAACTGTTTTATTTTTCAAAAGCCAGTTGAACAAATGTTTTGTTGTTTATTTTATTTTTTTAAATTTATTATTCGTTTCTTTTCTGGAGAATCGATTTTATTTTACATAATTTTTTTCCCACAAAGCATGTCTCACATAACAGTTATTTTTTAATACAAAAATCTCAAATTGTATAAAATGTCTATATCCTGTTAGTAAATGACAGTCAATTAATGCTGGAAAGTTGCTTTCAGTATGTTCGCTCATTTTGTCTCTTTTGAATATATTGACTGCAGCCTTCTGTTGTAATGCTTTTCCATTTGCTTTCTAACATTTCAGAACATTTTGTGAGCTTTTCTCAGTGCCAGATATATACTTTAAATTACTATTAATATTATTATCAATTCTAAAAAAAAGAGTGAAGAAAACAGGCAAAATGTTTTGAATTGATTCTGTCAATATCTATTGGGCTGACCAGAAAATAATGCAGGTTTTCATTTTTTCTTTCAATTACCCCTCTATATAATAAACTGTTTGTTTGATAGAGTTTTCTTTTGTGTGAATGTAAACACTTGTTAATCATCTTACAAACAAAAATATTTGTTTACCTTAGTAACATTTCGTTTTTTGGTAATAATTCAGTATTATTAAGATGTCAACGCGTGATTTTCACATAATTTCATTTTCTGCATCGTCTTGAATCCTGCCAAAACAACCAATGCTGAAACGTATCTCTGCCAAATTGAAGTAGTGCACCAGAAATTGGCATTAACGAAGCCAACAATCATTTTCTGTTACCACAACAACACTCGCCCCGTGTCTCACACTTGTGACAACACAAAAACTTTTGGATATTGGTTTTGAGGTTCTGCCTCACTATTCCTATTCTCCAGACCTCCCACCTCCCAGCTACCATTTTTTCAGACACCTGGACAAGGTTTTACAGCAAAAAATTTATTGATCAAAAATTGTTAGAAAATGTGTTTACAGAATTTGTTAATCAAAATATAATCAAAATTCTATTCAAAGGGTATAGAGATGTTGCCATCAAGTTGGGAAAAGTGTATTGAGAATGATGGAGGGTATTTTAATTAATAAAAAAAATGCTTAAAATCATTTATATAATTGTTTTTATTTTATAACCAAAAACCTGCATTATTTTCCGGGCAATAATTTGGTTTTGGTTTATTAAGATTACAAAACTAGTTGAACAAAGTGGTGATTGTTATTGTTTGTTTCTATTTCAAGATGAATACAATCTTAACCCTGGTTTAGAATGGGAAGACGAATTCACAGGTAAGGATCTCACTTTCACAGAGGATGCGTTAATTTGTAACCTGTTTATTGCTGTCTATTGTAATTCATTACAAATGAAAATTTCTTGTTTGTGTTTTTCATTTATATCTGGCACTTTTATTTATTTCTTTTTTCTTTTTTGACAACTGGAAATATCTTTCTATTTTTTTACAATTTTTTTATGTAGGCATTTCCTAATATTTCTTATTTTATTGTTTTTGAATGACTTGTTTGTATTATTTTTATAATTTATCATAATAGCAAATATCCCAATCTTAACTTTGGAATTAACAAGCAAGTTTTTTTATTAGCTTTAAATTTATATTTATTTAATAGTTTTTAATCTTATTTGTAAAAATAAGTTATGGTATATAAAAGCCTGACAAACCATCTACCTTTATTTATTTATTTTTGTTTTTAATATGTATTTTTAGGAGACTTATTAAGTAATTTGATTTCTTCTCAATAAGATTTATATATTACTGCGAAAGTCTGAAGTGCGATGTATCTGAACTTTACCGAAGTTGCTGGATGTTCAAAATATTCCACCTTTGAATGTGACCTCAAGGGCGCTAAATTAATTATTTTCATCCTCAATTAATATTGAAAAAGTTGTAGAAGAAAATTTACTCAGAAAAAAATAATTTGTTAGGTACAGTCGAACTTCCCCATCATCCCTCATAACTGGTATAATGATTTAGATGATTTTTTATGATGAAAATTGTTCTTGAATAAAGTGTAGCCCAAAAGGGAAGAAGGTGTAAAAGTAGAATTAAAAAAATAAATTAATTAATCAATTTAAAAAAAATAAGTTAAAGGAATTGAATTACTATCCAACAGATTAAGATCTTGATTTTTTTTTTTTAATGAGAAAAATTAACTGATTTGAATAGAATGAATGGAAAGACGTAAGTGCGTGCCAGAATCTTAGAGAGCAAGACCTTAGAGGACCTCACCGGGCATGTTTATTCACAAGGCTCTTTCCTCCATACTTCATTGCACTGTCACATTTATTTTACTTATGGAACCTTGGACATCATTGGCTGATAATGGAAGGACTCGGTGGTTCTCTTCTGTTCGAGACACCGAGAGAGGCAGATCTTTGTGACACATCTAGGTCAAACAAAAGCTTTTTTTTAATACCATTATAGCAGTGAGATCATCATAGATCGATTTTTTGAGGGTCCTCTTCCTTTGGTTTAATCAGTTGGTTGTTTTACTTCAACTATTACATCATTACACAAAATTTACTTTGGTTGAATTGGGTTTGGATAGAATTGGGAGCGGTTTCAATGCATATGTGTGCAAATCTAAATATGCTCAATATTATTGTCCCCTGTATTTTTTTGGGTGCTTTGCTTAGTAAAGTACTTTCAATAGTTGGACATTCTAAGAAACGGACACGAACACTATGTTTACATATTTAATGAAAAAGTCTTTTATGGATTACGTTACATGGTAATGTTTGGCCCTTTCAGATCAGTAATTACTTTTCTTGTTGTGCTTTGGATTGTGATGTGACAAACCGATTCGGGGATGAGTATGAAAAAGAAGTTTCTTTCTATCAGAGAAGTCATACAAGTCCATGAGAAAGATAAAATGTCCCATGTACATGTGTTCAAGTGCAATTAATTTTTTACTTTACTGTATCTTTACATATTTATTTTATATGTGGGCCCTTTTAATAAGTGGGCAAAACCCATTCCCGAGTAATGCTGACAGTATGATTGAAAAAGTTACAACTTGTCAAATTTTCTGAATTGTATTCCTGTAATTGAAACTTAACCTAAAGAATGTAACTGAACAGTTCTACTTCTGTAGAAATGATGAAATGGTAGAGTGCGGTGTTCAATCCTTTCTAAAAAGATAGTTCGTACTGATAGTAAGTTGTTTTAAAAGATCCGGATTCCGAGCTTTTAGCTCATCATTCAGCTAAAAGCGCAAAATCCGGATCGTTGAAAACAACTTTCTGTGAGTAGGAACTATCTTTTTAAAATAAGTTCCACTTCTGTTTATGTGAAATATGCATGCAAATGTTTTCTTGCAGTGTGACCACTTCTAGCCCTTGATAAGACCATAAACCGGACATCTTGTGTTTGCCAATAATCAATAAATTATTATTTTTTAATGTGTTGGAATGTGGTCACCGGTGTTATAGGCATTCGCCATCTTCAGACTTTCAGTGATATGTATATTTAGTTTTATATATTGAGGAGAATACTTGTTTGCAATGAATCTATCTGTTTGTTTTGTTGTAACATTGATATTCGGTTGTCAGTAATAATTGCAGGTTTTGTCTGAGTAGTGATGAATTCGTGAAAAAAATCTGTTTTTGAGGAACAGTTCTGCAGTATATATTTTGTAAAATTACTATATATATTCCATTATTACGTTATTTTATAAAATTTTATATATATACACACACAAAATTTTACAAAATAACAGTTTTGTCCATCAGTACTCAATTGTCTAACTTAAAATATTCATTCAAAAATAAATTTTATTAGGAAAACAAAGAAAGCTTAAACATGATGATATGTATAAATATTTTCACACTATAAAATTGCATATTGGCATGCTTTGACATACCAAATAATTAAGATCGGTAAGTGAAATGCGAGAGAGAAAAATATGACATTTGATTCTAAAATGTAAAAAAGGAACAAGTGGGATATGAAAATGAAAAAAAAAATGGAACGTGGGTAGAGTTTTCATGATGAAAACTTAACACTTGATTGTTTCGCATAAAGATCCTTTCATCAGATGTAATTATGGTGGGCAAATGATTCTACCTGTTGTTGAGCTGATCAATTTTTGTGATGCTTATACTAACTTTCATAAACTAATCACTAATACAACTTTTAATTTTTTTTATAAAAGGGGTAATTGTGCTGATTACTTGATAAATTGAATATTTCATCAAATTTCATAGATATAATTGCATAATTGGTTGGGTTTTGTAAAAAGGAATTCTCCATCATAAATAATTTTTTTTTAGTACTAAAAATGTAAGGTAATAATTTTTTGGCTTAAGCCTTTTTTAAACAACAAAAAAAAAAATCCCTAACCATTCTGAATTTCTCTAGAGTAAATGTATTAGAAGCTGTGCAAACTAACTTTTTTCCCCTCCACCTCCCCGCTGTACCTTAGGGAGACCCCATACCGGCGGACCTCAGCCTCTAATCTAGTTTTACTTCTAATTTTGGGTCCTGGAGTACTTAACGCCTTCCTTCGGTCTCGCCCTGTGAGGGGAGGAGGCCCAAGGAAGGTAAGGGTAAATTCTTGTATTTCTTGCTGATTATTTGTTCCTATTCTAAAAGGTCTCCCCTTGCTGGTTACTCCTTTGATAATTAAATATTTACATATTGATTATACTAAATATAATTTATTAAAGCCTTAATAAATAAGGAGTAAACAGCCCGAATTTTAAAAATCTAAAAAAACAAAACAAAACACTATTAACTTACCTTACTTGTGCAAACTAACTCTTTGATCTTTGATATTTTGGTCTATGAGCTTGTGTGAATGTGTGTATGGCTGTTTTGGTGCCCCTGTCTCGGGCAAGGTTTTACTTACCGCTTAGTTTTGACATATGACGATCCACAAGCTGAGGATGAGGAGAGCTCACTTCCGCCAATGGATACCTATCAGTCTAAGCTTCCGCCTGGGATCCTACCGCATGGTTTACCCAAAGTCAAAGAAATGGAACCAGCAGTCACGAACGTTGAAACCGAAGTGAAAAAGGAAGTCAAGCAAAGTAAGAATTTTGTTTTTCAATAATTTATAATACATAAAACTGTTGGATTATTTTAATTTTCAGTCAGGGAGTTGAGCGAAGATGAAAAAATGACTATAGTACTCAGCGAGGATTTTCAAAGGTTCATCGATAAATCAGGAAGGATCATGGAAAGAGTTTTATCAGAGTCGGTTGATTTGTATACAGATTATACTGGCGTAGCAGATGAAGATGATACAGGGTACTCATTTTAACTTTTGCTTTATTATTAATTTCAAAATTTTTTGTTACATTTTTTTTTGCTTTGTTTTCAAGGGATGAAAAGTCAGGGGGTAAACTTTCGTTAAACAGGTGTTTCTTTGATGAGAAACTGTCAAAGAACAGACCTGTCACATCGCTCGATTGGTCAATGCACTATCCAGAATTGCTATTGGCCTCATATTACGGAAACGCTGATCTCGCCCATGACCCTGACGGAGTCTGCCTTATATGGAACACAAAGTTTAAAAAGACAACTCCTGAATATGTGTTCCACTGTCCTTCTATTGTTGTATCTGCAATATTTGCCAAGTAAGTTTGCTATTTTTTTTTTTTTTTCACTTTGCTTAATTTTTCCATTAATTTTATATATCCCCCCCCCCCATAGATTTCATCCTAATTTGGTTCTTGGTGGAACTTACTCCGGTCAAGTTGTTCTTTGGGACAATAGGGTTCAAAAACGTACACCTATTCAAAGGACACCTCTTTCTGCTACAGCACACACTGTCAGTATACTAAACATCACACTTATGAAACTATATACTAAATTATAGTATTTATAATACTATATTTATTTTACAGCATCCTGTTTATTGCCTTAATGTAGTAGGCACACCGAATGCGCATAATCTTATATCAATTTCTACCGATGGAAAGTTGTGTTCATGGTCACTTGATATGCTTTCTCAACCACAAGAAACTTTAGAATTGCAGCACAGACAGAGCAAAGCTATCGCAGTCACTTCTATGGATTTCCCTTACAACGATGTCAACAATTTTGTCATAGGAAGTGAAGAGGGGACTGTTTACTCAGCATGCCGGCATGGCAGCAAGGCCGGCGTGACAGACACCTATGACGGACATCAAGGGCCGATTACTGGAATCGACACCCATAAGGTACAAGGACCTGTTGACTACTCGCACCTTTTCTTGACTTCTTCGTTCGACTGGACGATCAAACTGTGGAACATGAAGGAGAACAAGCCGGTTTACAGCTTCGAAGACAACACAGATTATGTATTTGATGTGGCCTGGTCTCCAGTCCACCCATCTGTATTCGCTTCAGTTGATATAACTGGACGTCTTGATTTGTGGGATCTTAACATGGACACTGAAGTACCATCGGCATCGACTGTCGTTGACGGGCACCCAGCTTTAAACAAACTTGTCTGGTGGCAAGGAGGGAATCACATCGCTCTCGGTGATGATATCGGGAAGATACATCTCTATGATGTGGCTGAGGTAACTTTTATACATAATTTGTTATGGGCTACAATAAAATAAAAATATAAAAAATAATATTACAATTTTTTCCAGCATTTCTCTATGCCACGAACTGATGAATGGAACAAACTTATAGTTACGCTTCAGGAGCTGAAGAATAATCAAATAGATGAAGAAATAAGCAACTTAAATCTTGGTTCTGGTCCTTCTAGCCTATCTTCTTATTCAATGTCTAGGTTAAATTAATTGCAGGCAATTTTCTTTTAAACATGTATTATTGTTAAGTTTCTTTGAAAAACTACAAAATATTAACATCTTTTGCCTCTTGATATTAATTTGCTAACAGGCTGCTACTATTTATTTGTATGTTTAAATCTATGATTTATATTTTTGTAAATAAACGTGACATATTAAGTTGTCAATTGTTATGTTTTGTTGGAATGGAGTTTTATTAGTACTTTTTCAAGTTGACTGTTTTATAAAGTCACCAAAACTTTATACCATTGTGTGTGGTGTTTAGTGACGTGTTAGTCAATGATTATTCGGAGATCATGAGATGCGGTCTGGTGTGACGTAGGTTTTAGAAATACATTTCTTTATCGTGCCAACGTTTTGATCTTTATTGAGATCATCTTCAGGGCCTGGGATTTACAAACGTTGTTTGAATTTTACAAATACATGTAGCATGTGGAAAAAAAAAGAATTTGGAGAGTATAGAATATTTAAAACAAAACACTCATCGCCTACCTGTTGTTATATATTTTCTGATTTTGAGATTATTCTTTTGAAAATTCATTCGTGTGATCGTAGCAACAGTCAATTGTTCATGACCAGCGTGCAAAAACACGAACCCAGCAGTTTCGGAATTTAGGTAAAACTGTCTCAAGAAATTCCATTATCTGTAATACCTGACAAACTTCCGATAAAACCGTTTATATATAGAGGTCCCAAAGTTGTTGAAAATTTTGTTAGCACATTAACAAAAATAGCACATCGAATTAAAAATTGTACTGTATGAGATTGACGAGACGTTAAAACCTCTAACTCTGAATGAACAACAAGATTATAATCACAGCCAAAACTGTTATATTTGTGATAAATCTTATACGGAAAATGATCGTAAAGTTCACAATCATAATCTCAATGGAAGATATATAGGAGCAACACACAATTCGTTCAATCTTAAATTAAAAAATCCAATTTTATTCCGGTTTTTATTCACAACTTAAGCAAATACAATGGACATTTTATTATAAAAGCTTTAGCCAAAGATGGTAATAGAATTGAAATAGTGCTTAGCTCTGAAGAGGTGTATATTACTTTTTCAAAACGTATGAATGGTATAAGAATTTGTTTTGTAGATATATTCCGATTAATGCCTGAGAGTTTACAGTCATTAACAGACAATCTGACTCGTAATCAATTTGCCAATGTTAAAAGTTTATTTAACGATGAAGGGATCAAATTAGTTACCAGGAAAGGTGTTTTTTGTTATGATTTCATTGATTCATATGAGAATGAATCCCATGTCTTATCTTCCCATGAGATTACCCATGTCTTCTGGCTAAGCATTAATTTTTTAACTGGTCAATTTGTTTCTGATGTAGATTCCGGCATGCTTCTAATGTGTGGAAAACATTCCATATAAAGAATTTCGGTGAATATCTAGACCTCTATCTCAAGACTGACATTTTAATTTTAGCCGACGTTTTCGAAAATTATCGTGATGTGTGCATGGGAATTTACAAATTGGATCCTGCAAATTATTGAACGGCTCCAGGATTAGCCTAGGATGCAGAGTTGAAACATAAAGAATGGCTAACCGATTATGACATGCATATGATGATCGAAAGAGGGATAAGAGGTGGGGTGTGTCAAGTGGTGATAAACATTCAATTGCCAATAACGAATATTTGCCTGAATACGATAACACAAAAGAAACTACATTTTTACAATATTATGATGTAAATAATCTATATGGGCGGGCTATGACCCAACTACTGCCGATAGGTCAATTTGAGTGGGTTGATACAAACATTATCATCGATGATATAGAAGATGAAGGAGAATACGCACATTTTTTTGAAGCAGATATCCACTACCCTCAGGATTTATATGATAATCATGTAATTAACCCATTGGGGCATCGGTGGCCACAACGGTTTAGACACTGACACAGCGCTCATTACTGTAAGGTAAAGGTCCCAGGTTCGAAACCAACGTACTTACAAATGGTTTTTTTTTTTTTTTCAAAAACACCGGCACCCCGAGGGTTTGTATGACCTCTGCTGTAGCGAACCCTCATAAAAAAAAAAAAATAAAAAAAAATAAAAAAATAATCCATCCATCCCTAAAAAAATTGAATGGAATTAACCCATTAAAATAATGACAGGATTTAATAAAGAAATGTGCTTTGTTTTTCTGTAATGCTGTTTATATACGGTGCTTTACAAAGATAAGATATCTAATAGACCAGCCAAAACAAGAAAATTAATAAAGGAAAAATTCTAATATCTTAACAAGTCCTAATTAATAATTTTAACATTCCAAAATTTTTGAGATTTGATTTAAAAAAATAAAATTGAAGACTTTTATCACAAATGAATGCTTTGGTTAAAAGGTATTGCTTAAATGATATGTATATTGATTTACTCGTATGATAGATGCAAGAATGGCTCTTCTTTTGTAAATACTTCATTACTGTCAGGTAGCTAAGTTTCTTTGGAGGTTTTATACCAATCAATCAATACGTCAGAGACTTACGTTTCTCTCATCCACCTGTAAATAAATTAATTTCTGACAATAATTGGTTTAGTAGTCAAGTTGTGTTTTCAATTACCTGACTGGAGCAGGGTGAGAAGAAGTAGGAGAGAGGAAATTGTGATTGGACATGCCTCATTACAGCTCACCTGCAGGTCTGAACTTGTCAGTTTCAGTTCGGGTTCTGGCTTTTTCTTGAAGACTTCAACTGCAAAATGAGAAAGGCAATTGTTGACGGTGAAAACAGCAATTATGCAAGCTTACCGAATATTGTGTTTGTGACGTGTGAAACGTCTCCCTTTCCAGTTATACACGTCAGCTTTATTTTTGGTACATGCGCCTCTGTCATCCTTAACTGCAGCTCCGCTACTTTCCCTTTGTAATACTTTATATGGTCAGAATCAACCTGTCAAAATGACTAAATTTGAGTAGAATCTAAATAAACTATAAATATTTATATAGATTGTTAATAAAATATAATGAAAATGCATTGAACCCTAGGTGTGGGTTTTAGAATAAACTTTAGTAGTTACAAAATCAATATATTAGTAATAAATAAAAATAAATCATTATCACCTTGACTCCATTTATCAACCATGTGATATGGGATTGAATTTTTGTCGTACAATTGACCAATAGCCAGTCTCCAACACGGTAGCTTTGCTTTCCGAAAGAAATTTTCGGTGATTCTTTTTGAAGTTCTGTGAATAAAAAAATGCGATAGTTTAACTTTTTGTTAAAACTGTTTTAAACACCCCCCTCCCAGGAACAATTCTCACCGATAACAACCAATTCGCGAGACTCAGAAGACTTCGTGAAAATCGGCGAATCAGTTGACACTTCACAGCTGTAATAGCCTGAAGCATTCGTAGTTATGTTCATAAGCATAAGCTGCGACTCGGTATTCTCTGACCACTGGAAATCGTTAAAACGTACAGAATAAATACAGGCTAAACATAAAATAAAAAATCTTACTGAGACGGTGGCTCCTTTTAATGTAAAATTTTTAAAAGGTGGTTTTCTATCTCTTATAAATTGGAAGAACTTTTTGCTGTTCCTGAGCCATTGGACTTTATAGAGGACTTCTCTTTCCACCGAGTGATCGCATATAAGCACAGCTGAAGATCCAATGCCGACATAGTGCGGTGCTGTAAGCACGACATCGAACCAACTCTCCACACCTGACAAAAAAAATATTGATTATGATTTAACTTTTACGATTTAAAAGGTCAATTGTGTAAATTTATTTTGATTATTACTGGAGCCACGTTGTCTATTTTTAGACAAAGTGTTCATTCTTCTCAAACTTACTTCAGCTTAAGAGTAATTAACCTTTACCCTATAATCTATTTAAGCAATTCCAACTGAGGCACATAATGAGGTTAATGTTTGCTTGTAAAAATGTAATGAACATGGCTTATTTAATTATAGGCCAATTATAATATGAAAGTAGTAGTAAATTATTGATGAAGTACGGCGCTTTTTGCAACAGTTACAGCACGACCGTTCGGTAATGCTGGTTTAGCCTAATTGGACAGCCTGAAAATCTAAAGTTTTAAGAAAAATGATAAAACCTTTCATACTTTAACTTTAAAAAATTAAACCGTTAAAAAATTGTTTGATTACCTATAAAAATTGTCATTACTTTGTGAATAATGCAACAGTTAGTGCACGACCGTTAAGAAAAATTGGTTAGCCTAATTAGACAGCCTGAAAATCTAAAATTTTAAGAAAAATGATAAAATCATTCATACTTTAATAAAAAACTAAAAAATTAAAATAAAATAAAACAATAAACGAAAAAATGTCGTTTGATTACATACAAAAATTGGCATTATTCGTGTAAATGTGCATAAGTTTTAAAATAGCTTAAGACAATAAGTCAATGATTTTTTTTCCATTGACCTATTGTCTTCAACTATGTTAAAATTGATGCATTATTCATACAAGTAGTGACGATTTTTGTAGGTAATCAAACAACTTTTTTTAATATTTTTTTTTAAGTATCAATAATAATTTTAAAAAAAGTGAAACTGGTTTATTCTAATTATTCAACTTGTTTATTTTAAAAAGTAAAAAAAAGTTTTTTATATAATAAATTTAATAATATATTTTGCAAATAAAAAAACAATTACATACAGATAATAAATTATTTCAATAAAATTAAAATTTATTTTTATTATATGAAAAGATTGTCTTAGTTTTATCTAATAATCCTTTGCCAGTTCTTAAAGAATTTTTTAAAGTTTAAAATATACAATTGCTATTTTCACCTCGGATGTTTTATCATTTTTATTTTTAGTGTGCTTTCTTTAATCTTTTACCTAGAATCAGGCGAGATCAATATGATCTCATCCAGTATAAAGAAAGACCTGCTTTGGCTGAAATTCATTGCAGTTTTCTTGTAACCGGCGATAAAGGGTTGAACAAAGCCCGACTGGTCTAAAAAGTAACGGAGCAACTTTGATCCGTACGAATCAAATTCAATTGGATTGTTTTGTAAAATTAGGGTCTAGTTACAGACAACGTTATAACATTGTTTATTGGAAGGCTGAACAAAAAATCGGAGAGTTATAATTTTTGAAGTAAAATTTCACCATTTTTGCTCAGCCCTTGTTCAAAATGAATATTAAAAAAGTTCCCTTTTGGAATGAAAAATGTTCAAAGTTTTGCATTGACGCAAAATGCAAAACTGCTAGTGTTTGAAGTTGTCATTCCGGAATACGGTTAACAATTCATTATGAGAGCATTACGTCTCTCTACTGTGAAGGGAGATAATTCTTCCAATAATTTAAGAGACTTCTTTGAGGACATCAGATGCACCTCGTACGAATTACCCATTCTATATCAGCCCATCTCGGCTCAACTACAAAGCCCTGGAGTTAACGTCAAATTGTTTTCACGTTTTCAAGCACCCTCTTTTTATTTCCAGTACCGCTTTTATATATTATTCAGAAAGTGGTTGGTGTTTTAAACAGTAGCCGGACTAGCAGGGCTCTGCCATTGTCGACTTCGAACTTAAATAAATAATTTGTATTGATTAATAACTAGCTAGGAAACACCCTTTTATTTTGGATCAGATTCTCTCTAATTTCTACCGAAACGAAATTTAACTTCAAAATATTGAAAGTAAACAAAAAAACTTGAATAAGAATTAAATAGAAAAATTACATTAAAAATAAGTAATAAAAACGAGCAAAATCAGGAGAGGCTGACTGACTGAACAATTATGTAAATGAGTTATTTAAGGATTGAGTGAATAAATGAGCAAGGATAAATAAGGTAAAAACGTTCGAATTAAAGAGGAAATACTGAGAAATTGATGAACAAATAAATGTACTGAGTGAATAAAGTAGTGATTGAGTCAACAAGTGATGAATGAGTAACCAACTGAACAACTAATAGAGGTAGTAAATGTTTAATGGACGAAGGCAAAAGCAAATGAGAGAGAAAATGAACGAGTAAAAATGTGAGGAAATGAGTAAGTTGGTAATTGATAGAATGAATAAATTATTAAGTAAGCTATTGTACTAATGATGGAGTTAGTAATAACTAATTGAATGAATGAGGGAGCGAATGACGAACGAATGAGTACGTTGCGTAAATGTGTTAGATATTGAGTAAATTGGCGAATGAGGCAGTAAAAGTCCTTAAGCAAATGAAAGTAAAAAATCAATTTATGCAGTAGTAATCGTAAATAGGTGGGTAATTTGAATGAATAGGGAACTGAGGGATTGAATGATGAACGAATAAGTCAATGATTTAAAGAATACGCGAATGAGAACAAATACTCATTCAAAAAAATTATATGAATGAGTAATTGTAGTGATGAGTAAATAAGTGGGTGATCATATGAATGAGTAAAAAATGAATGGGGAAATGAAAGAATGAATGAACGAGTAAACGTGTTTGACAAAATAACGAACGAATGAATGTACTATGTATATGATTTATTTTTTGAGCAAATATGTTGGGAGTTAACGAATGAGAAACAATTGAGCAAATACAATAGAGTTAGGCAAATGATTAATGAGTAATTTTGATAATAGTAAATAAGTAGGTGATTATATAAATGTGTCAGTTAAATTCCAAATGAGGGAATGATTGATAAATGAATGAATTAAGTAAATGAGTCAATGAGATGAATAAGATAATGAATAAAATCACTTATAGAAATAAAAGAGTAGGTCAATTGAATTAATAAGTAAACTAAAGACTAACTGAATGAGTCAGAATGAATGGGAAAATGAATTGAAAATGAAATGGATTGAATGAACGTGTAAAAGTATTTGAGAAAATGATGAACGAATGAGTGTGATTGAGAAAATAAATTAACGGTAGGTTACATATGAGAAAGTAAATGAGCAAAAATTTGAGTTTATAATTATTAATGTACGAATGAATAATTGTAATAGTGAGTAAATAGGTAGGTGATTGTATGAATGAGTCATTTAAATGAATGGGAATGTGAGGGAATGAATGACGAACGATGGAATAAATGAGTAAGTAGGTCGATGATTGAGTGAATAAGTGAATCAGTCGTAAAATTGCTTATAATATGTAGACTTGGCAATAATAAATTATTAATTTGGGAATGAGTAATTGTGGTAATAAGTAATTAGGTGGGTTATTATACGAATGAGTCAGAAATGAATGGGGAAATGAGATAACGAGTAAAAGTTTTTTAGAATTTTGAATGAGTAAATGAACTAATGATTGAGTGGATAGGCGAATAAATGTCCAAGCATACAAATTTAATGGAAGTATAATTTTATGATTTGAATGCTTTAATAATTTTTTCCGTATGGTTTTTGGTATTACTAGACAATATATATTTAAGATAATTGTGATTGGGAAGAGAAATTTTGCTTAAGATAGTTCCAAGTTTGTGCATTCCCATCATAATAAGATCAGGACCAGTCCACAAAAATCCATTGTGACACGTGAGTGTCGTGACCCATGTAAAAAGCGAAACACGTAATACAATACTAAAACCGCGTCCCATTCCTCCCTAGAACTCTCCCCCACCCGTAATGTAAATAATTAACCAAATCTCCGAGTAGTCTGAATCCGAGCGTGAGCTTATCCTTGGATCTATTCGCCTGATCATTAATAATTTTCTTGCCAACACTAATCCCTTACGTTTGTCCCGATAACGAAGACATCAAACGGCGTTATGAAATCCGTCGCCAAACAATTATACTTACAAAAAACAATTGTTTCGTACAAGATATTTATCAATGGTAGAGAATATAAATGAAGTGTTTATTGCATTATTATGTTAATATAAACTCGGAGATCGATAAAGATTACATGGAAATTCGAGTACAGACGTCCAAAAGTCTCGTCACCTTGCTAAATGGAAAACACATAGGTGTAGCTAACAATTTTGTAATTTACTAAATAAAAAAAAATCAATAGAATATTAATATATGTGAATGAAAATTATGTTTGATATATTTTGAACATTTAGTAAAATAAGTAATATAACTAATATTGTTAACAAACCTACATTTTTATTTTTGAGAATTGATGCTAGTTTCACCGCTGTTGGATATTTTAAGAGATTTAGTTATCTCACAGAGCATATTGATTCAACAACCCTGGCACATACTCAAAGTCAAATTTATAAAATTAGATAATTATTTACAATTTATCATTAGGAAAATTTAAAGTGTCGAAAGTTGAAAGTCATTCAAGGCAAAGGGATTTAAAGAAAATATCTAACACGTATAAATCCAGATCAATAATGATTATAATATTATAACACGGCAAAAAGCAGTATTTATATATTTTTTTTCAAATATTGATTTACCAATAAACATTAAACACATTGTGAAGGCAGAGAAAATATTTACTAAATCGTAACATCGATTAATTGTTAAAGTATAAATAATGATTTGTTTACAAAAGATTCATCGACCTTAAATCATAATCCAGTGAGCTTTGATAAAAGCTTTCCTGAATTATTTTCCTTATTTTAATAAAGTATAGATTTCTTCTCAAGAGTGACAGGCAGAGGAGGTGCAAGGTTTTCTCTAGGCATAAGCTACATCAGTTAATAGGCCCATTTTTTGAAGTGGTATTTTAATTAAGCACGACCTGTGACCAAAATTTTCATTAGTTAGTAATATGGCTATATTTATGCCACAAAATAGGTTTGGGCTTATGTGTATGGCTCTCTTTCAGGCTTGAATATCTGTTCCCTCTTGTCACAAATTCCCCCGAGACCTGGGCCTCACGTCAAACTCTACGTGGATCCTTGATTTTTAGGGCATTTAGGCAGTTACAAACTGGTTTTGAGTTAATGTGGGTGTTGGTCTGCGAGCCGGCACTGAGTCAGTTACAGGGTAACTTCAGTTAGGAACTGGGAAGATGGCGCAAAGTCGAGACGGGTTTGAGTGTCATCAAAACCCGCAAGTGTAGATGGACCCAATAAGTGACCATGTCGATTCAACATGAGTTCCAGATTAGTGTAAAGTTTATATTGTATCTGCGATTAGAGCTGCCTGGCTATCTGATAGTTGACCTTTGAGATGTTTGTTATCGCATGTCCATGTGTTTCTTTGGCTTGAAAAATGTACATGCAAACTCTTTGAATTTCATGCCAACAAATAATTTATATACATAATCATACTTAAGCAAAATTGATTTTTAAGATTTGATTTAAATATATGGGTGTGTGCAGAAGTTTTTCCTGTTTTGAAAAAAACAACGTTTCAAAATAAATATTTTTAATCCAAAACATGTTATTTCGTTTTTATAACATACTACAAACGTACTGGTAGCAGACACATCCTCTTATTTGAGAAGTCTGATGTAGATGAAAAAAAATTTGTAAGTCCGATGTTCAGAGCATAAGGCTATTTAAAGTGGCAAAAGTCTTGAAAGAATGGAGGATGGGGGCAACAGCTGCCAGACCCTGGTGAAACGTCACGTTGACTCTATCCACCAGGGCTGGACGTCCTTCAAGGCTGCCCAAAGGCACTCTAGCTGTGTAGCATATATTTTAACCACATTTTTCGTAATGAAAAAAGGGGGTAACAATCTATTCTCTTTCTTTGGAAGAACTTATGCATACACCAAAAATTATTCAAATTTTATGAAGTTTATAAACATCGGATAATGATTAATCAAACCATTCTCCGTATTGAATAGCTGTTATTATCACACACTTCAGATGAAAACATACTAATTCACTATAATTGTTCAAAATTTAGTCAGTTTGGAGGTCAATTATGAATACTTATTGATTAGATCGAATTATACTTTATTCAGAATTTTTGTTAAATCATTGAAACAGTTTTGACCTCCACTGTACATCAGCAATAAGAAGCTACCGACTCAAGTCAGATACTTAGGATTATACTTGAAAATGGGAATCCCTACATAAAGTACAACTTATCAGAGGTCTATAAGAACCGAAATGTGTTTTGACCGTCAAAACATTATATAATATAAGGACTGTTGGGTTCCATGTCCAGCGCATGGAAAAGTCAAATTGTCAACGACGTCAACATTCCTTCCGTTAACGACGAAAATGTTCCACGTCAATATCGCAATCCATTCAAACCCTACTGCCCAAGCCCTTTTACAATTTCCCATCCACCTCACCTTTTAATTTCTCATATCTAGTGCCAGGATTTGTTGGTTTTTCTTAACAGGGTCCTCTGTTACAGTGCTGACTGTAGTGTCAGTTTGTCACCGGGAGAAAAGATCCATGTATGTGCATACTTGTGATATTTATTTCGATATGTACAGAGTGCAATTAAATTATTCGAAAAATTATCGAGAGGTGTATTGATAAAATTCCAATGATTGTATTTATCTTTGCAACTGAAAAACAAACATGACATAATTTTATTCTGTGACATCATGTTCATAGTCGGGGTAAATAAATCAGGGCCAATCAGTCTCATGACAAAACGTTAACTATTCGTCGAACAAACAACAAAATATCGTTTCAGGGTTTTGCTTCTAATCAACAGAACTGGATTTAATTAATTTCCATTTGTCTGCATTGGTTCGTGTCATATCAATAGGTAGGATAAGAATGCAACTATTACCCAAATATGTCTTCAAAATATGATGTAATAAACTGTTAATAAAGCAATCACAATGACGAGAAATTAAATTCGTATGTAAAATGTAAAACAGGCAGATTCCTCAGAATCTAAATGAAAAGTTACGGATTAATTTTTTTAAACATTTTATTTCGGGATTCATGTTTAAATTATGTCTTTACATAGAATATTTAAGAAAAAATATAATGAGATTTCTTTTATGAGAGACAGTTTGACAACAGAACTATTATTTTGTTGTTAGACCTTTGTACATATTTCTAGAAACTTCAGCGTTAAAGTATATAGTCAAATCTTTAATATCACATCAATCCTGTTGTATATTTATTTAAAATAAATTTCAATATAGGCAAGAAGCAAGTGTACAATAAGTGCCCCAAGATTTGATCGATGGCACGTAAAATTAAAAAGCTTTTACTCCCTTCGTAACTGGTATAAAGAGTAACATTTTTATTCGTAATATGTATAACTTAAAAAATATATATTAAAAAAAACTTACCAACAATTCCATACCATGATATTACAGAGAAAAGACACTTCCAAATAACGGCCGACCTGAAAGTACATCGATTAAAAGTACATCTCAATAGAAAGGTCAAAGGAGAAAAAGAGAAAAAAATGGCAAAAGAATGTATTATAAAAGTTTAAATTAATCTAATAGCAATAATTTATCAATTATTTTATTTAAATAAACGAAGTCGTTTTCCTTCAGAAATAATTTTTCTGATAAATAAATTGTTATTTAGTTTTTTTATTGTATTATTAATAAAGGTGTGAAGGAGAGGGGAGTAAATAATGGTTGTTTTGTGTTCACAACTTCTTACCATTTTTCATGAAATTTGATAGAATTATTAATTATCTGGGAAAAAAACAGAAATTTGAATTGTAAAATTTCTGTCTCCGATTTTCACTTATTGAACCTTTTGAGATATTTCTCAAGCCCAATTTAAGAACAGATGGTCGTGGGAAGCAAAGTGAACAGAAACGGGCAGTACAGGCAACCCTGCCTAACTTCGCAGTAAACAAAAATATTCTGACAGGCCTCGTCCATTGAGATAATTTTTTTAAAATATTTAAGTCACAGATCCCGTAAGTCGTGAATTTTTTTGAACCCTTCGGCTTTAATCAAATTCAAATCGAAAATTTTATTATTTAAAAAGCTTCTGAGCCTACTATCATCAACCGGGTGCGACAATTACAATATAAACTAGAAGCCGTGACGAGAACACGGGGAATCTTTTGAAGTATCAAAAGATAAGTGAGAAAGCGGAGGGAAAAAAAAGAGGACCGCTATCTCATCACAACACGGAAAGCCTTTAAAAGCTTCTTTAAAAAATCAACAAGGCGCCCAAATGTGAAGGTAAAACAAAGTTACAAACGAGGTTTTAATAAAAATACAAAAGAAAAAACAACAAAAACACTTTTTTAAGTTTGAAATTTTTTCTTTATGAATATTTTTTAATGCAGTCATTTCAGTCAGTATAATTTTGTCAAAAAAGACAAAAATTTGTTTTATTAGATAACTAGATTCTATTTTTTTCCACTAGACGTTTGGACTAAAAAAATAGGGTCACAATTAAACTCACTGAGGGTAAATCAAATCCAAATTTAATGTGTGGTGTTTAGTACTGTTAGTTAATGATTATTTGGAGATCGTGAGATGCGGTCTGGTGTAAAATAGGCTTTAGAAAAACATTTTCTTTATCGTGCCAACGTTTCAATCTTTATTGAGATCATCTTCAGGGCCTGGAATTTATAAAAATTGTTTACATTTTACAAGTACATGTAAGATGTGAAAAAAATGGATTTATACAGTGATAGAAATTTTAGATTCAATCAAAGTATTTGTACTCACTCAAAGTGTTTGTTTTCTTTGTAGATGTGCCATTCTTGTCTGCCGTGGTGAGAGTGCCAGTGAGATATTGATGTTTTTTGTTTATATACGTTGGATTTTGAAGGAGTGGGGAAGGAAGTCGGGATAGAAAGACATCAAAAAATATGAGGAGTCGGCTTCTTTGAGGTGAAAGGAGCCGACAATGGGAAAAAGTGGGTAATGGTTCGGCCGATTATCCTTTCAGGATTATACAGACGGGAATAATTCGGGAAAAGAAAGCCAAATTGTAGAAGAATTAGACTACATATGTAAGAATGTTTGATGTGTGGAATGTGATGATGATATATGTATGTTTTCGATATTGAATTTGCTTAAACACGACACACAAGATTGACACATCTACTCAGAAAACAAAAACTTATTCTTTAATTGAATCTAAAATTTCTAGCACTGTATAAACTCATTTTTTTCACATCCTACATGTATTTGTAAAATGTAAACAATGTTTATAAATCCCAGGCTCTGAAGATGATCTCAATAAAGATCGAAACGTTGGCACGATAAAGAAAATGTTTTTTAAAACCTACGACACACCAGCCGCATCTCACGATCTCCAAATAATCCATATTTAATGTTTGTTTCATTTATAATTCAAGTATTTAGGCAAATTTGCTTTGGTAAATGAAAAAATACAGGAAAGATAATTTAAATATAAACTATTTTAATTAATGATTGCCAGTAAACAATTAAAAAGTATACATTATTTTTGAGCAAAATCAATCATGTGCTTATAGGCAGACAATGACATTTGAGTTAATTGCTCTTGAATTCCAGATTAAATTTCAAAAGTCAAAATATATTTAAGTCAATCCCAAGAAAGATTATTTAACAATATGAAAAATATAAAAGGGGCGAAAACTCATTAATTTAAAAAAAATCCTTCTCTTTGTGCAGAATTTCCACCCACTGAAAGATATTAAACGGAAACGATCCGATATTTTTAACAATGCAAACAACAACCTTTTTAGCGTTTTAAAATGCATAAAAAGACAAGCACTAATACTTCAAATTACAGGTCTTTTCATCTGGACCTCGGTGAATCTTTTGTTCTTTTATTCTTCTGACAATCACCAACATATCTTGACTGTATATCTACAATATAAACGCTTAACATTCAAAAGCAGTTTTTGCAGATTTTCTCTATTTATTGAAGATGCTTTTCGCTCCATTGTGCGCATCATCAGCCTCGTTAAAACAAAATAGAACAGAAATCATACAAAAACCATGTCCTTTTCAAATCTTTCGTTTTTGTGTGATTTGAAAAATTGGAATCTGGAATCCCGTTTTTTTTAACTTGGTGCAGCCCTCTCTCTCTCTCTCTCTCTCTCTCTCTCTCTCTCTCACTCTCTCTCTCTCTCTCTCTCTCTCTCTCTCTCTCTCTCTCTCTCTCTCTCTCTCTTCTCTCCATGAAAATGTGGAATTATTTTTGATCTTTCAGGTACAGATTTTTTCCTGTTTTTAAATAAAAAGGGTTTGGTTCTGATTAAAACTGCATTACTCGACAGTCATGCTGAGACTGTCGCATAAACACGCCGTAATTTTCACATCACAATATTATTTATTTTTCACACATCTCTGATTCAGATGAAAATATCACAAACGAACGAGAAATTAAAACGAAGTAAATCCAGAATTAGAGACGTAGAAGGAAGAATAGGAATCTGAAAGTACCTTTTTCTGTTAATTCGGAACCGCTTTCTCTTATTCTCTCTCTCTCTCTCTCTCTCTCTCTCTCTCACTTACTTTGTTAATTTCGCTCTCTCTCTTTCCCTTTCACTCTATCTATCTCTCACCTATCTCCATGTTTATTATTATTCCATTATTTTTGATCGTTTCAGGTACTCATTTTTTTCCTAGTCTTAAATATATAGGGATGGGTGAGGCTAAACCTGCATTACTCAACAGTCCTACAGTGACTGTCGGGTCAACGCGCCATAATTTTGTCACAATCGATATTAATTTATTTTTCGCCCATCTCTATTTCGGATGAAAAAACACAACTGGGCGGAGAAATTAAAATGAAGTAAATCCAAAATTAGAATCGTCTAAGGAAGAGTAGGAATCTGAAAGTACATTTTTTTTGTTACACTGGACAGCTCTATCTCTGTCTCTCTCTATCTCTCTCTTTCTCTCTCTCTCTCTCTCTCTCTCTCTCTCTCTATCTATCTATCTATCTATCTATCTATCTATCTATCTATCTATCAATCTATCTATGTATCTATCTATCTCGATTTATCTATCTACCTATCTGTCCTATCTATTTACCTATCTATTCATCTTCTTTATCCGTGTGCGTGTAAAAAATAGTGTCGTTTTTTTTGTTGATTTAATTATTTGTTGACTGATTTTTCCTCCATCCTGACTGTGAGTTTGAAATTAGTTAGGCTTTCAGTTTTTTTTTAAATAAAAAAAAAAGGTTTTTCTGTCTAAACATGTTGAAAGGTAATTCAGCAGAGTGGGCGAAAAAAATCATTAAAAAAAGATAGTGATGAGAAGCAAAAAAAGGTATTTTATTCTACAAAATCACGGTCGAAAGGACGAACACACTCTCGTTTTTTTCCATCTGCTATTATGCAATGTACAGTCAGACTCTTTCATTATTATTTATGGTCTCTCCTCCAGGTGCTCTCAGGCCGATAATCCTCCAAAAAGAATCGCTCATGCGAAACGCGCTGACTTTTGACGTTATTCATACCGGCTGGAGGGAAGACGTATCATGATTTATTGAGAAAAAATTCCCTTACTTTTAATTCTAATAAGGCCATAGTTCTCATACACAGGCGTATTATACTTATCAAAGTTACAAGTTTTCCGGCTTTTGTTTTAATACTCGCTACGTTGACAAACTTTGACGTTATGAACTCAGTTATTTGTTATCAACGGCTCAGGGAGAGACAGCATGATTATATACACGTATAATTATATCAAACAATAATGTAATGATGATGAAATTTTATTCAGACATCACTTGAAGCATTTTTTTAAACCTCGTCTTGTTACTTTTTAAGTTGTAAAACACATAAAACGACCAAGCACTAATAATTCAAATTATAGGTTTTTACATCCGGACTTTGGTGAGTTCTGTTGTTCTTTTATTCTTCTCACAATAGCCTGTATATCTACAATATAAATACTTAACTTCAAAAAGCTTTTAGTCCCTACAGATTTATGGAAGATGCCTTTCACTCAACTTGTGTGCATCATCAGCATCGTTAAAACAAAACAGTATTAAAATCACACAAAAATGAACCGTGCTTTTCAAACTTTGTGTGATTTGAAGAATTGGAATCTAGAATCACGTTTTTTTAAATTGGTGCGGCTTTCTCCCTCTCCCACTCTCTCTGTCTCTTCTCTCCACGTAAATGTGAAATTATTTTTGACCTTTCAGGTACCGCTTTTTTATTATTTTTAAATAAATGAGTTTGGGTAGAATAAACTTGCATTACTCACAGGAATGCTGAGACCGTAGTATTGACACGCCGTAATTTTGACATCACAATATTCATTTGTTTTTCACACATCTCTGATTTCGATGAAAATAACCCAAATGAATGGAGAAATCAAAATGAAGTAAATCCAAAATTTGAATCGTCGAAGGAAGAATAGGAATCTGAAAGCACTTTTTATTGTTAAGGTGGAGCTGCTCTCTCTCTCTCTCTCT